ACGTGCCAATGCGTCTTTTCTAACGAATGACAGGGTGAAGCTACGAGCGTGTACTGTAGACGATGTTGATGTTTACCCCGCAAGTCATCCAGGTACCAGCCCTGGAGAGCCCCCTCCGGTTGGAGATATGACATACACATGTAACATGGGAGATATTGATGGTTTATCACCGGCTTTCTTCCAAGGTTGTCACCGGCCCGGCGACATTCGCAAAGATTGCCTCAAATTGCAATTGGCCTTGCCTCAACTGGTCAAACACGGCAAACTCCTCTTCAATGGCGAAAATCCCCCGGACCGAAACAGCCACCAGTGGAGCTGAAAGAGAGTAGGGCAGTCGATCACGATGCGATCTGGAGCAGCGCCGTTCGGGCTGGAACACGGAGAATGAGGCATTTAGCAACCAAAAAAAAACTCGGAAGTTTCTTATCCTAGAGTGGGTTCATGACACATTGCATTCCACGAGTGTTCGGCAGCGATCGCATCATTCCCTGTATACATCATCCATGCACCCTATTAAGACATCTCAGGTGACCCCCCCGTGGACCTGCTACTATGCTCTTTTCAGCTTCCAGCAAGTCTCTTCCAGGTCACCCGCTCACCTCTTTTTACCCCTGTTCCTGTCCTCAGCCACGTTCCAGACTTTTTGAGGCAATTCTTTTCGTCTCATATCGGCCCGCATGACGCAGCGGGATTTTGCTATCGGCTTGAGTTCGGAAGGAGGGGCGATGAGCTCCAATCAGCGGAGAATGTATCGCCGGCTGTTAGTCAAAGTGGAGAGAGAATGATCGTTTTGGGGTGGAACAAAGTGGACCGGCGGATCTTAATGAGCTTCGAGACCTCTATACGGTTGAACCTCCCCGCCTATTATCGGTTATAACTGGTGGGAGCGGGACGTAATAATAATAGAATAACTAATGGAAATAACAGAGTATGTATTAATAGAGACAAGAGATAATAGGGCTAACTAGGGATTAGCTAGGGACGAATAGAGCAGCACTAGTAAAAGCTGAGAATCAGGTTTTGTGTATAAAAGACTAGGGTTCCCCGGATTTTCTGATCCTTCTGATTCCCATCCATTCTCATTTCTCACCTTCAGTCCATGGCGACGATTGGTGATCATTGTATTTGCCAGTAAGTCTTACAGCGTTTCTTGTCCTCCTTGCTTGTTATCTTCGACCTACCGAGATAAGCACATTCTTTGTGTCGCCTTATCTCATCTCACACGTGCCAGATGATTCATCTGAGCTCATGCTGATTGCCTTATAGCTTCTGTCATCTTCTCGCTCTTACGTGTTAAGAGATCTGCCTCACATACTACATCATGTCGTCTCCAGTAACTACCCCACTGTCGGAGACTCCCAATGGCACTGGCGCGAGCTTGCCTAATCGCCCCCACCCTAAGCTCTTTGGAAGCCAGGATGGAAGCTCCGGCGCCGGCACCCCCATCGGTTTCCAGCGCTTTCCCCCCACAACAAGCACTTAGATCATGCCGTTGGAAACGCTTTGCGACAACCGTCCCCGCAGCCCACACACTTGGGGATCCCCGGTACCCCGCACCGTGTGCTCTCCGAGGAGGACCCGGGCTACATTGCGGCTACCTTTGAGGGCAAGCAGAAACAGATGGAACAAGGTCAGTGCAGTGGACGGATATGGAGATAATGCAATTAGCTAATTCCCAGCAGTGATGGACATATTGGAGGAGAAGGGCTTCTTCCCGAGCGACTTTGTCATCTCCGAAACCACCTGGTTCTATAACAAGCTTGGCATCGACGATACCTACTTCCAGACCGAGTCTGTGGATGCCATCGTGACCCAGATCCTATCCCTCTACGCCGCCAAAGTCGCCGCCTATGCCCGCGATGATAAGCAGCTGGAGATTCGTCTGGATAAAGAGGCCGAGGACCATGCGGTCTACATCGATACCAGCAGGCCCGGTGCGATTTCGGTCGATGGTCCACGCTATGAGCAGCGCATCGACGAGAAGTACGTCAACCATTCCAAGGGTGCCAACAGCTACCGCGTGGAGACCTTCCGCTCGCCGAGCACTCTGCCGGGCGACAATGGCCAGCAGCTCCGCTGCTACTTTGTTTACAAGTGCCAGTTCGCCAACCCCAACCCCTCACCGAATGAGACAAACATCGATATCATTGGCGAGAAGCGCTTCTTGCAAAAGGCCACTCCCAACACCAAGGCGATCTACCAGGAAATCATCGCCACGGCCGTTGGTCGCTCCGGTCCGGTGATTGAGATGTTCGAGATTGAGGGAAGCCGGGAAAAGCGTCTGGTGATTGCTTACCGCCAGGGATCCGCTCTGGGCTTGTTCAGTGCCCTGTCGGACCTGTACCACTACTACCGCTTGACCAGCTCGCGCAAGTACCTGGAGAACTTCTCCAACGGAATCACTGTGATTTCGCTCTACCTGCGTCCCTCGGACAAGTCCGAAATCTCCGCCAAATTCCCTCCCATTGAGGCTGCCATCCACCAGATCATGAAGGAGGTCTCTCTCTTATACTGTATCCCTCAGAACCGCTTCCAGAGCCACTTTGCCACTGGTCGTCTGAGCTTGCAGGAGACAATCTACGCTCACTGCGCGTGGGTGTTCGTACAGCAGTTCCTTAACCGTCTCGGTTCAGAATACATTTCGTTGGCTGCTCTTTTGGATGGCAACAACAGTGTTCACGCAGAGTTGCTCTCCAAGATCAAGAAGCGTCTGCGTACGGAGACATTCACCGCTGACTACATCTTCGAAATTATCAACAAATACCCCGAGCTGATCCACAAGCTCTACCTCGACTTCGCCAACACCCACTACGTTCAGACCCAGGAGTCTGGTGATGACTTCCTCCCCACCCTCAGTTACCTGCGTCTGCAGGTCGACGAGGTCCTCGATGGCGCCAAGCTGAAGCAGCTCATCCGTGGCACCGCCCACAACGAGCACGACGAGATGGTTATGACCTCCTTCCGCGTGTTCAACTCCTCCATCCTCAAGACCAACTTCTTCACCCCGACCAAGGTGGCTCTCAGCTTCCGCTTGAAGCCGGACTTCTTGCCAGAGCATGAATACCCCCAGCCCCTCTACGGCATGTTCCTGGTCATCAGCTCCGAGTTCCGCGGCTTCCACCTGCGGTTCCGTGACATCGCTCGTGGCGGTATCCGTATCGTCAAGAGTCGAAACGGAGAAGCATATAACATCAACGCTCGCTCGTTGTTCGATGAGAATTATAACTTGGCCAACACCCAACAGCGCAAGAACAAGGATATTCCCGAAGGCGGTGCCAAGGGTGTCATCCTCTTGGATGCTGATCACCAGGACAAGGCGCGGGTCGCCTTCGAGAAGTATATTGACAGTATTCTCGATCTGCTCCTGCCCCCCGTCAGCCCCGGTATCAAGGATCCGATCGTTGATCTGCACGGCAAGGACGAGATCCTCTTCATGGGTCCCGACGAGAACACCGCTGAGCTCGTCGACTGGGCCACCGAACACGCTCGCGGCCGTGGCGCTCCCTGGTGGAAGTCGTTCTTCACTGGCAAGAGCCCCAAGCTGGGCGGTATTCCCCACGACGTTTACGGCATGACCACTCTCTCGGTCCGCCAGTACGTCGTTGGAATTCAGCGCAAGTTGAACATCGACCCCGCAACACAGCTCAAGCTGCAGACCGGTGGTCCGGACGGCGATCTTGGATCCAACGAGATCCTCCTGTCCAACGAGAAGTACGGAGCCATTGTTGATGGATCCGGTGTGATCTACGACCCGAACGGTCTGAACCACGAAGAGCTCATCCGCTTGGCCAAAGCGCGCGCGATGATCTCACACTTTGACATGACCAAGTTGTCTCCCGAGGGCTACCGCGTCCTGGTCGACGAGAAGAACATCAAGCTCCCCAGCGGCGAGGTTGTCCAGAACGGCATGATCTTCCGTAACACATACCACTTGCGCACGCAGGAGAAGTTCGATTTGTTCGTGCCCTGCGGTGGCCGCCCCGAATCTATCGACCTGGCATCCGTCGGCAAGCTCATCAAGGACAACAAGTGCATCATTCCTTACATCGTCGAAGGTGCCAACCTGTTCATCACCCAGGACGCCAAGCTGCGCCTCGAGAAGGCCGGCTGCATCCTGTACAAGGATGCCTCCGCCAACAAGGGTGGTGTGACATCTTCCTCCCTGGAAGTCCTAGCCTCGCTGTCTTTCAATGACGAGGAGTTCGTCGATAACATGTGCATCGACGAGGATGGCGCCGTCCCTGACTTCTACAAGGCCTATGTCCGCGAAGTGCAGGAGATTATTCAGTCGAACGCCGCCCTCGAGTTCGAGGCTATCTGGCGCGAACATGCGCAGACTGGTGTGCTGCGCAGTGTCCTTAGTGATCGTCTCAGCTTGGCAATTACCAAGCTTGACGAGGAACTCCAAATGACCGAGCTCTGGGACAATGTTGGGCTCCGTCGCTCTGTGCTTGGCGATGCCCTCCCGCGTCGTCTGTTGGAGAAGATTGGTCTGGAAACCATCTTGGAACGTGTATGTCTCCCCTTCTTCTCTTCTTGTATTTGAACCTCCGCTAATAATCCCAGGTCCCTGAGAACTACCTCCGTGCCATCTTCGGCAGCCACCTGGCCAGCCGCTTCGTATACGAGTACGGCAACAACCCCAGCCAGTTCGCCTTCTTCGACTTCATGACCAAGCGCCTGGCTAAGCTTCAGTAAGCCGTTGGAATTAGACATTCCTGTGCGAAAGCACTGGTTTTGAAACTGTTTTGTCATTATTTCTGTTTTTCTTTTTGAGAAAGACTTATCCGGGTCAGCGAAATACTTAATACGGAACAAAAGAAGATCTGTTCCCTTGACGAATGTATGGTTTAAAAAGTTTGGCGAGCGAGAACAGAGAGAGGCCGCTTGGGCAAGATGATCCTTGGAATCCAAATTCTTACCCATTGGAACTGCCATAGTCCTACATAACTCTATCATGCAAATTCTATTATATTACACCAACCAACTCCTCCCAATGCTTACTTCCATCTGTTCTGAGACGACACAGTCTCAGCCATAATCAGCACGATATTCACTGCCTTTTAGGATGTTAGTATATGTCAATAGGACACCCGGGTCGTCCTTAAAACAGAAGAACTCACCAATAACAAATCAACTCCCTCGGATACCTCAACCTCCCACCTCGGCCTCAACTTCACTTTGGATCTACTGTAGTCCATCGTATTGTGTCGCGAGATATGCATGATCTTCTGGTTACCCATCATGACACCCGTACCCGACCCAGCCAGCTGCTTCACTTTCAGCTCGACTTTTGCGCCGGGCGAAGCATTAGCTTCAGGACGGGGACTGGTTCTGCTGCTGCCGCTACTGCTGCCGGGACTGGCATTCGCATTCCGCGACGCAGATGTAGACGCAGACGAAAGAAACGGGGAAGCCGGCGCCGGCTCCTGCGGCGGCTCAATTGCATCGAGCAGATCGCGCAGGGAATTAGGCGAGTCCCGGCGAACGGAGGCGTAGGAGGGAAGGAGTGTTGGTGCTACAGGAGCCTGAACGGGATCTTGACGTGAATGTGGATGTGGATGTATATCTTTCTCATTCCCCGCATCCCCACCCCCTTCTTCACCCCCAACCCCAGAAACAGCGCTATAAGAAACAGCACTATAAGGCGGTGGCTCGTCATCCGACACCGCCAATCCACCCCCACTCCCTTCACGCCTCTCCCTAACCACCGACGCAAGCGCATTCACAAACCGCACATCAAGCCTAAACCCCCCACCAACCCCAATCCTCGACCCGGGCCCATCCGTCACCCATGGCGTCGAAGCAACCATTAATTCCGCCTGCTGATCAGGGAGTCGGGCCACCCATTTCCGGATCGGCAGCCACGCCCGTCGCAAGACGAGCACCGGCACGTCCTCGGCGTCGCAGACTGTGCGCGTCATGTTTGGCCATGGTTTGTCGTACACGGTGTAGAGGAGGACGGCGCGGTTGGGGCTGTCTGGGGTTTCGTGGGCGCGGATGCGGTGGATGGTGAAGGCGGAGGCGGAGGCGGGGGCTTTGGGGTGGGCTGTGGAGGGGGGACTGGTGTCTTGAGTCGGGGTTATTGTTAGGATTGTTGCGGTGTTTGCTAGGAGGTCTGCGGGCGGGGAGAGGAGGTGGTAGGGTTGGAGAGCTATTGGTGTTGCGGGGGATATGAGGGGGTTGGTTTTTGGTTTGGAGTTGCGATTGGGCATTGGGATTGCGGTTTGGTGGTGGTTGATGTTGATGTTGTAGGGATTGTAGGGATTGGTTATATCATGTAGTAGGTTGTGTATATAGAGATCTAGGAAGTTGGAGTGATGTTGCTGATGTGGGGGCGGGAGTGCCGGATACGTTGTAGCACTGAGGTCACCAATTAGGAATACAGTATATATAAACAGTCGAATACATCAGGGACTATGTAACCTTCCATCGCAAGTCGTCCCCCAGCTATGTATACAAATAAGAATGAAGCAATTCGAACACAAGGTCATTATTATCTACGGACATAACGGATATAGCATGTTGGCCTATTTACCGAGGCATTATATACAACTACACCGACTGCTACTTACATCTACGCCTCCCAATAACTAACTCAGAGTCATAGTCCATTCAATATAGTTAGCATGTCTTCAATAGTGACAATTTTAGCACCTCCAGGCCCAATTAGAATCTCACCAAGGACAGATCCTTCACCGAGTGGAACCTGCTGGAACCAGGCCCACAATATGCCGCCGACCGAGGATAGAGGCGCAGTCCAGACCGGGGAAGAATTATGCGTTGAAAGGGGCAATTGGAAGAAAATCAGCATGAGGGAGTTCGTGTAGCACCGTTCGACTAGTGCTGTATGTTCTAACCAAAGGAGATTAGCCATGTTAGCGCGGGTTAGTGGCTGGGAAGCTTATTTTCGTCTATCAAATGCCAATTGCCAGATATCAAATGGCAGATGTCACTCCGGACGGGTCAAACATGGATCTGTCAGTCCACCAGCCCGTGAGAATCCAGTACGTATCCATCGTCTGCTTCTAGTTAGGGCATGCCACGAATAGATCCTTCATATTACGCGTTAATAGTGCAGGCGTATGGCCATAACTGCAATGCATAAATGGCACAACGTGGGGCCTCGAACCGGTTTCTCCTCATTTTAGACAAAAGGAACCCACTTTTCCCCGATTTCATTTCTTTCTTTCTTCTTTCTAAAATATGAGGTCGAACCGTTTGTGGGGCCGTTACTAGACTGCCAAGTTAGCATCTTTGCTACGGGGGTCTGCTAAAGGAGAACTTGCTCTCTGACATTTCCCTAGAAAACGAGTCATTGCCTCCCGTCCATCTTCGGGAGGATTCATATTCGCCGCGTCGTGCCATGTCGGACGCACAGGAAAAGGCGCCGCCGATCCCTCCTCATCCTTCTGCGGGGACTGCCGAGGCAGACCGCGCTGAAGGCAGTGATCACAATGTCGATTCCAACGCAGAAACCCTTCGCCCAGACGAGGCGCACCCGGAGCCTGAAACAATTTACCAGCGATGTCGGGCAGCAGGCCGGCGGATTCGCAATCGCGCTGTTGTCATAGCCGAGATGCTCGGGCGACCACATGAAAAAGGGGATGGGTTGAATTCGCCAATGTTGCCAGACTACTATGAAACACTAGACGATATCCGAGCTTACGAGGCCCGCCAGGCACTTGATGAGGAAGCGCGCCTCCCGGGAACAGACTATGATTCACAAGCGCGTCTCTTGGTGGAACAAATGGGGTCCCAGTCCAGGCTACGGCGTCCACACCACATCAAAGAACCGTGTTCCGGGTCGACAACCCCAGGAACGCCAGGGACTCCAGATGAGTCGGCAGGACCTGGTAGTCCACCCGGAGGGCTCTTATCACATCTTCTCCGTGTATACGCCGACAACCTCCACGCAACCCGGCTGAGTACTATGTCTACAGCGTCAGAACCCAGCCCGGATGCAGAACCCAAACCGGACGCAGAACCCATCGCATTACCCGACACAGCGACGGGTGAAAAGAAAGACAAGTTGAAATGGTACAACCACCCCAACAAACCCTCCCACAACTATACTTCCTCCCTCATCAATGCATCCATGGATTTGTGCCGGGTCGCGCTCCCCGGAGCCACGGGTCCCCCTCCCGCGACTCCCAACGAACGAAAGAAGGAAAACCGCAAAGGAAAGAAAAACATCAAGCTCACCGTCCACATTGCCGCCATTCTCGCCCGCCAGCAGTACATCATGCAGCTGTGCCGCGCTCTAATGAGATACGGCGCCCCAACCCACCGCCTGGAAGAGTACATGATGATGACATCCAACGTACTAGACATCAAAGCGCAGTTTATGTACATCCCCGGATGCATGTTCATGTCCTTCGACGACCAGCTAACTCGCACCACCGAGGTAAAGATCGTGCGCGTAGTGCAGGGGCTGGACCTCTCCCGTCTCGCGGAGGTACACAACATCTACAAACACGTCGTCCACGATATCATCAGCGTGGAAAAAGCCATCCACGAGCTAGACCAGATCATGCAGCGCAAACCGCGCTACAACCGCTGGCTCCTCATCCTCCTGACCGGCTTAGCCAGCGTCACCGTCGGCCCATACTCCTTCAGCGCCCGCCCCATCGACCTCCCTATCATCTTCATGCTCGGCTGTCTAGTAGGCTTCATGCAGTACGTCGTCGCGCCCAACTCAGCGACCTACTCCAACGTCCTCGAAGTCACCGTCGCCATCCTCGTCTCGTTCATCTCGCGCGCGTTCGGCAGCATCCAGCATAACGGCGAGCGCGTCTTCTGCTTCTCCGCTATGGTGCAGTCCTCCATCGCAATGATCCTCCCAGGCTTCGCCGTGTTAAGCAGCAGTCTCGAGCTGCAGTCGCACCAGATGAACGCGGGCTCGATCCGCCTCGTCTTCACGATTATCTACTCGCTCTTCCTCGGGTACGGCGTTACCGTCGGCACGACCATCTACGGGCTGATGGACAAGAACGCCACGAACGAGGCGACGTGCTCGCATCTGCCGGAGGTCTGGGGCAACGAATACATCCAGCACTTCCCCTTTGTCGCGCTGTTCTGTCTCTTCGCGGGGCTGATCAATCAGTCCAAGCCGAAACAGTTACCCGTGACTATCTTCATGGGTATGTGCGGCTACATCGCGAATTACTTTAGCACGAAGAAGCTCGGCGCGAACCAGGTTGCTAATACCGTGGGCGCGTTTACCATTGGGCTTCTGGCTAATCTGTATAGTCGGGTATGGCACGGCCATGCGGCTGCTGCTATTATTCCGGGTATATTCACCCTCGTCCCGTCGGGTCTGGCGTCCAGTGGGTCGATTATTTCTGGCTTGCAGTATGCCGAGGCTGTTGCGGCGGGTGATGTTACTACCAGTGCGGCATCTAATAGCTCGCTTACGGCGCTGGGATACGGCATGATCCAGACGGCCATTGGTATTTCCGTCGGGCTGTTCATCTCCGATCTGATTGTTTACCCGCATGGAAAGAAGCGGAGTGGAATTTTCAGTCTGTAGACCTCCATCTTTGTTTATATTGTATTATTTGCATTAGCGTCTTGATTCCAGAGCGGAAAAAGCGTCCCATTTATACTAAATATTAATACCGAATCTCAATCTCAATGTCATGTCATGTCACAATATCAACATCAACATCAACATCAACATCACAATGTCAACACAGCCCCCAAAAAAGCAATCCAAGCAGGCAAATCCGCAACAACCATCCGAATCCGGTGAATCCCCACCCACCGTCGCATATCAGCCGACGCGCCCACCCCACTCTCGCCCAAGTCCTCTCTAACAGCAACATTATCCACAATCCTCTTCACCGGCCCGGCGACAAACGGCACAAAAACCAAATGTCCGACCGCGCCGGCTAGCCCCACCCAGTAGAACGCCGTTGTCTGCAGCGGCTTTTGCGGGTAGTAGCGGTTCAAGAAGAGCGTGCCGGCCGCGGAGGTTATTGTGCCGAGGTTCAGGGCCAGGACGGTCCATACTGCGCGGTTGAAGACGTGGGAGAACCATTTTGGTAGGACTTTGTCGGATGTGGGTTGGAGGGAGGGCTGGAGGAAGCCCGTGTTGGTTGTTAGTTCTAGGATGGCGTGTGCGAGGGTACCCGTGCTGGTTGCTAAGGGTAGGGTATGGAGGAGGAGGTATGGGTTTAGGATTAGACCGGAGGCCATTTTGGTTATTAGGTGGTGAGGGTGGTGAGGGTAGTGAGGTAGTGAGGTGGGATTTAGATGGGTGAGTAAAGGAGTAAGTGAGACAGCAAGGCGATATGCATCAATTGGGGCCGAATTGACTAATCTCCGTGGGCTGGTGGGTTGATCTCACCTTCGTCCCCGTTACGCTGACAATGGCAAGCCAGCTCCAGACACTTTTCAAAATCATTCTCAGATATGGATTTCAGCTAGGCTGAACGTGATGGCTCCACCAGACATAATGGAAGATGACTACAGACCTGATGTTGAATGTTTGTCCTCTTCAGTCAAACACATATACTTCACCTGATCTCAACGACTCTGTATAAATATTCTCAGCACCATGCTCAACTTCTATTCCTTGTCAACCTCCTCCATCAATTTGGCTTATATTATCACCGGTCCATCAAATATCGGTCTGCCCATTCGGCTTACCCTCATTCTACCAACTCTCATCTTACTTTCTCTCACACCCCTCTCCCAAAAGACCATGGACTGAGGAGAGCCCCTCAAGTCTTCTCTCACGAGGACCTTGATGTCCATGCCAAATCGACATATCTTACCCCTTATATATATTTCTCTATATAATCAGGTGAGTTCAAGGTCAATGGCATACCATTTGAACTGGAATAGCTAATCCCTCCCAGCAATATAGCTAGTGCAGATTCCTCCACATTATTGATGAGAAGGTCCTCCTACGCATCAGACGCGGCTACAACGTTCCCGCCGACAAGCTAGGACAGCAATATACCAACCTTGTCATGGTCACTGAGCGTGTCGGTTGGCATACCGACCTGAACTTCCACCGACTTGGAGAATTCACCACGTCATCCGCCGTGCAGCATTGAGAGCCTGTGACGACGGCAGATCCCTTCGACAGGGAGGCGGAAAAGGCGCACACAACCTATGGCGAGCGGTTCTGGAGCGTCTCCGATGTTGACGCCGAGACTGTCCATTTCGCAAATACCGGAGGGAAGTGTGCTATATATAATCCTCCAGGTGAATTTATCCAGTGACAGATACCTGATGTGGGAAGCAAAGGGAGCTGAAATATAACTGAGAGATATATCTATATATCCCCAATGGTAAGGCTCAACCACGCAGTGAGAAACTTAACCAAAGTCACACTTCTAACTATCAAAACGCACAGGGCGATCATACCTGATTATCGAAGAAGCGTCTCAAATGGTCGAGTCACAAGCGCTATATAGTATCATGCGCAATCTGAATGGGTTGAAAAAGGCAATCCTCAGTGGGGATACTGCACAGCTTCCACCGACTGTGATATCGAGAGACATTCGGTGGATGCTTTAGAAGGCAACAATCATCCCGGAATTCACAAGACCGGATCCAAACCCTGCCCTCGAACTATCGGGCAAAGACGATGCTCGATCACAGGACTCCAGAAATGTCGCTACAACACACGAGGAACGTGGCCATTCGTTCGAGGGTTGCATCTCTTAACGACCAACAACTGCATCGGGCTGTGGGAGCTGCTCTGGCAGTCACCTGCTCAATTCATTGGGTTGGCTACGAAGCGTGGCTGGCAATCTCTACGCGACCATCCAACTATCCATTGGTAGTCGTGTAATGCTGCTGGAGAATCTCTGGACGGAGCGCGGGCTTTATAACGGGTCGTTTGGGACCGGAGAGGATATAGTATGGCCTCCCGGTACCGTAGATCCTCGCCGTGAGCCGCCATCCGCCATACTCGTCAGGTTTGACGAGTACACTGGTCGCGGGATTCGGCCAGAAATATCCTCAGCGGTCCCGATTGTCCGTTCCACCCGCGAATTTTTCCTTGGGACAATACAGTGCACTCGCACACAGTTTCCAGTAATGCTAGCTTATGCGATCACTGTGCACAAGTCTCAGGGTATAAGCGTGGACCGGGCCGTTCTGAACATTTCCGAGAGACTCCACTCCTCCGGACTACACTACGTGGCCGTCTCGCGTGTCCGCACTCTCCGGGGTATCCTGTTCGAGGAGAGTTTCAACCTTGACCGGATCCAGTCTGCACAGCCTACGGCGCCATGCTTCTACGTTTCGGGGACCGTACCCGGCGCCTACCTCAGCATATTACACGCGAGGCTGTTCCTGAATCCCCCGTAGCCAGTCTTCCACTTCGACCATCTCCGCGGCAGTCCACTCCGTCGCGGATTCCAATCCGCTCTACTAATGCCTCGTCCCCGAGTTCCTCGCCTTCTTGGAGAAGTACGGAGACTGTTCTGGTTCGTCGCTCAGCTGCTGCTATAGCCTTGGCATTCATTTACTGACCGTATTCTATTACTTGTACAGCCACAGGCTCCATTTACCGACGATTCAGAATAACTTGGTCAAGGATCTGACAGCGAGAAAATGAACCTTGACCGTCACTTGGACGATTCGTAAAGTACGCGTCTTATCGAAGGCGCTGACCAAACACGCGATGCAGTGATTGAAGCTCTGTGAAGATAATATCAAAATAAGAAGATCACAGGCATGGAAGATAATGTCAAGAAACTGCCGCCTCAACATGCCTATCCTTTTCCACGCCTCACTGTCGGGGATGCACCAAGGGATAAAGGGGGAAATGGCTGGTTAATCTTGAACCAAATGACCCAGAGTCAACACGCGAGAAGGTTGAGCTTCTGACATGTGGGCTTATATATAATTTTAGTGAGTTCATTCTTTCCTCATTTACATGATGTGTCTCTATTGCTGAGTGTTGCTGATACATTATTTAGAAAAGTGGAACATGGTCCGTGAACAGGGATTTCTATCACCACTTTAAGTCCACTTGAAGCGGTCACCAGATTCAGCAGCGGAGATGGGTGATAGGAACACACATGACGAGCTGGTGCTTATATATCGGAACAATATCAAGATGGCTGGTCGACGAAGAACTTCACTGTCGCAATCTCTCTCGCAAGCTCTCTCTAGGAGGGAGATGCGAGAAAGGTAATTATAAGAAGGTCTCTGGGGCACTGAAAAAAATTCGCCCAACAACAGACTTCGATTCTCTCCGATTTCCTTGAATTTCGAGATACCCAGCAAAAAGCAGAAATCTTTTGAAATCAGCCATTGATGACTGTGACGTGGACGATTGCTGGGAAAGCTCATACCATGCGCTTTAACTGCAAGCAGAAATGGGAGAAGGGAGATCCACTAGTAAGAAGCAGCGAACATACTTCACCATCTCATCATTCGGAGCCGGCATGATCCGGGTACTCAGAGGGCGATTGTGGAATCCAAGCTACAGGCAGACAGTGATGTTAGTGTGTCCATGAAGCCCGCCAGCAAACGCCTCTAACAATTCAAAAACAGCTCCACCCCCACAAAGTGACCTTCTCTTGCCCTCGAAGCCAGAACCGACAGAATCCGATGGAGAAACAGTCTGACGAAAAAGGGGACGAACTCCACGCGTTGGATAGGACCGCAAATGGCTCGATACCGTCCAGATTGGAAGGATTAACCCTAAACGGATCGACACAAAGAGTACCGCAGCAGACGAAACTACCAAGGCTCTAGAAAAGGAAATTGATTCTTCTCCATCACCACTGTATCTGAGTACCTTGTGACCCGGCAGCTCCTCGCAAGCCACAAGCGGCTGTCGCAGCTGGGATATATATCATATTCTCTTCTTTACGGGGAAACACAGGCCTTACATTAGTGATTCTACTGTGCCAATAGTATTTACCTATTCTTAGCCTTTGCGGAAGTTTCATGGTATCATCGACTCGCGCCTATCCCGCATGGCATCCGGGTTTAGGACATGTTACTCCTGGGACAAAATCTGGAAGTCATGCAACGCATTTTTACTGTGGCATACAGATGGTCAGCTCGCTCAAGCGGACGGAACTTCAGGAGCATGGAAGAGTTTTCCAACTTCGCGCTGGCGTTGATGATTGCGGTGGATAATTGATTGGCGAAGGTTCTTAGAGAGAGACTAGAATTGAATAGCGAAACCCGTTTATTCTTTGAAAATTGATAACCTCTACGGCGTAAGAGTGATTAGATTCTTCAAGTGTTATGCGAACTCTTTTGGTGACAGTGATTTTCACGCGACGTAATAGACTGTTTTTCGGTAGTTACTGGCAAGCAAGCTCCACGTCTTCGAATTGGATTACTCTCTTGTGCAATGGTTGCCTATGCTGTGTATTGTCTGGTTTGAACTAACATGGGCCATTGGCTACTTTAGCAGCGCTATGGAGGGATGACGAATGATATCTGACTTGTTGTGGATCGAAAACGTCAACGACTCGATCTCGGGACTGACCGCTCTGGCAGATGGTGCCTATGACACGTGACAAGTAATTCACAGTCACAGTCACATGTCAGCTTAGCTTGGCAGAATAATGAAGCTCATTCTTCCCCTTTTTTTGCTATGTTGTACTACGAATTACAGATCAGGAAGAACATACAAGATATATTTTATGTGGTCTAATAACTAAGGCTCTCGACATAATGAAAAAGGAATATAAACAATGCAAACATAAATCTCGCATGGACAAGACAATCATAAACTCAGAAATCGACACGACACAACAAGCATTCCACAATATGAAGACCACGAACAATCGATCAATATCGCTAACATTGAGCAGCCAATCCCGTTGAATCGAGATCGACTAATTTCCAATCTTCTCCGCAAACCACACCACTAGATGACTGACAGTTGGGTGACTCCACGTCAAAGTCGGAGGCACCGCAACCTTGAGCGTCTGCTGCAGCTGGCGACGCAAAGTGACCGTCATGACCGAGTCTACACCTAGATCAGCGAGGGCTGCCTTCGAATCCACATCCTCAGCTGTCATCTGCAACACCTTGGCCACGCAGCCCCGGATCTTCTCATCCAGGTACGTCTTGAGCTCCGGTCCTGATGAAGGCACCGCATCACTGCCATTGGAACTTGCAACAACCGGCGCGTTACCAGACAGTGCGCCCACACGACGCACCGCAATATCATTGAGGATAGACACCGGCACCGGCTCCCCGTCCTCAAAGGCACGACTTCGCAAGACAACTCCGTGGTCCATATCATACTTGGCGAGATGCTGCCAGGCAGAAAAAGCCTCATCGCGCGTGATATCTGTGATCCCCTTGGATTCCAACTCCGCGTTAATGAAGTCCGTGCTGGCGCCCATACCTAGGCCCCGCCACGACGTCCACTGGAAGGACACGACCGAGTCGCCCAGGCGCGCCCGGTGCGTGGCCAGTGTATCCAAGAAGGCGTTGCCGCTGCCGTAAGAGGCTTGGCCAGTAAACCCGACTAGGTTTCCGCAAGAGGAAAACATGATGAAGAAATCAACACTCTTCGGGGGGAAGACTTCATGCAAGGCTAGTGCGCCCGCAATTTTGGGCGCGAGAACCCGGTTGAAGGCATCGCGTGTGGTTTGCATTACCAGCTCGTTATCTAGGACACCGGCGGCATGGACGATACCCTGGACTGCAGGGAGGGCGAGGCGGTCTAGGGCCGTTGACAGCTGCTCCACTGCATCCGACTTGGTGATGTCTAGGGGGAGGACATGGACGGAGGCACCGCGACTCTCCAGGAGGCGGATCTTGGCAATGGTAGGCTGGAGATCCGTGCTGACCTGGTCCCAACTGCGGCGAGGCGGAAGAGCACGTCGCGAGATGAGCAGTAGACGTCTGGCTCCTTTCTCGACCAGGAAGTCGGCCACCTCGAGTCCGAGTATTCCGAGACCACCAGTGATGAGATACGTGCCCTCGGCGCGAGGAAGCAGGCGAGGACCGTCGCTGACAGGGCGCAGCTTGCTGCGCGGTAGGCTGCGGAACCGCGAGGTGCGGGCGATTCCGTCGCTAATTCGGATGATGTCGGCGCCGTGGATGTATCTCATCGTGGAGAGGGGGATTATGGGCTCTTCAATGTCGATGAGGGATCCCAGATCGGGGTGCTCACTAGCGATGATCCGCGCCAGTCCAAACAACGGGGATTGGGCCAGGGCAGTGGCAGTTTGACCATCGCCCACGTTCGCAGTGAGTGTGAAGACTTTGATGGGCAGTGAGCCATTGACAATGAATTTGATCAGTTCGAGCAGGTTCCAAGTGAACGACTCGGATGCAGCGGGAATCTCTGCCAGCGAGGCGACCTCGCCGGGGATGTAGGCCACGACGGTTCCCTTCTCGAGTGGGAGGGATGGAGCGTTGCTGAAGAAGTCCTCTGTGCTGGAGAACTGGAAGGATTGAATCTGGGTCGGCAGACTCGCGGCATAGTTGGCCAAGGTGGCAGCATCGGGCGAGACCATAATCACCGTCGTGATGGGCAAAGGCTCTTCGGCCGGGGTGGCCGGTGGCCAGGCGATTTGATGCACGAGACTCTCCATGCTGCCACTTACGCCGGGGGTTCCTTCAATCTCAGAGAAACGCATGGCCGTGAACTTTGCGAGGACCTCACCCGTATCACTCAGCACGCTAACGTGAGAGGTGGGCACTGCGTCGGAGGCCTCCTCGACGAAGAGCCAGCTGATCTTAGGCGGATCCTCCAAGGTGAATATCTCCACACGCTCGATCTGGGCCGGCATCCGCAGTGCAGCTGTTTGGAAGACAGTAGAGCCGACGGAGGTGGCAGCATCGAGAATTGGAGCCCAGGAGGAAGAATCCCAGGGCAGGGACGAATCCCCGAGGACTGCGGGATTGACATCAACGCGCGCCAGCATCTCCTTGGTATTGCGGTAGTGCTCTGTTACCGCCCAGGGGAATCCCATGGCTGAGACACCTACCTTGTCCAAGTAGTCAATTGAAAAGTTGTCTGGAAGTTTGGTGACCAGTCGCGCTTTGACGGCGGCGAGGTCGATGCGATCTACTGGACTCAGAACCTTCCGGTTCCAATATGCAGTGGTGTGAGTGACCCAGGAGGCATCGTCATCCGACAGCGAAGGCTCGCTCGGAATCAGGCGGGAAACGACCTTGACCTGATCCTGTTGCACCACGACCTGGACGGACCGTGGCGCATTGATGGCGACAGGAACGCGGAGCACCACGTTCTGGAGCATCTGGGCACCGGTGCCCTTCAAGAAGGTATTAATAAGACCCGCTGCTGGCACGATCTCGGTGCCGTGCAGGGGATGGCTGCCGGGGAAGGGCTTCGTTTCGTTGTCCAGCCGGGTAGTGTAGACGAATGTGTCGGTTCCAGGCACTGCAATACGCTGTCCTAGAAGCGTGTGCTTCTCGACATCATGCGTGAGGCCAGTATTGAGGGGCGCCGTCTCTACCTTGCGCCAGATGGGCTTATGCATCCAGGTTGTCGTAGGCAGTCCGGTGGCCCAGCGTCCAGGCATCTGCGCCGCCCAGTTCACTTCCGCGCCGCGACAGTGAAGCTGTGCGATGCTGTGCAGGATATGCTTCTCGATCGGCTTTTGGCGAAGGAGAGTCGGAATGACCGCAAAATCCTCCATGCCTGCGTCCATTAGCGTCTCATTGATGGAGTGAGACACCACTGGATGGGTTGAGACTTCTAGGAAGAGGCGATATCCGTCCTCAACGGCCGCCTGGACGGCCCGGGTGAGACGCACGCGGTTGACCATGTTGCCGGTCCAGTATTCCACGTCGCGCAGGTCCTGGCCGCGAGGGTCGACCAGTGCGGTGGAATACAGCTTGATGGTGGGACTCGTGGGGGCCAAAGCCTGTCCGAGCGCATCTCGCAGAGGATCTATGAGGCCATTCAGGGTTGGACTATGGAAGGCAATGTCGCTCTTAACGGTGAATGTCTTAACGCCGCGTGCCTTGAAGGCTTCTGCTGTCTCAGCCACTATCTCCTTGTCTCCAGCCACCACGCAGGAAGAAGGCGATGAATCGATGGCCACAACCAGGTCCTGTCGGGGACCCAATATCTTCTCAGCCTCGCCACTAGGAAGGTTGACAAGAATCATACCGCCCTTGCCCATGACCTGTCGGTATAATAACGCTCTGCGAGTCACGATAAGTGCACCCTCTGCTGGGGATAAAGCCCCAGCCACAACACTGGCCGCGATTTCGCCCACTGAGTGGCCGATCACGGCCTGTGGAGTGATGCCATTGCTCTGCAGCACGGCACTAAGTCCGATTTGCATGAGATAGGTCAGGATTTGAACCCGATCAGACGACTCAAAATCGCCTGTCCGGAGCAGCTCGATGGGTGATAGGCCAATCTCAGCTTGGATCAGCTCATCGAGTGGCTGGATGGCTGCGGAGAATACAGGATTGTGAATCAGTTGCTTGCCCATGTCTGGCCACTGCGCACCGTGCCCGGAAAACACCCAGACAACGTCCTTGCTGATGTCTGCGCCCAACACACGGCTCTGAGTCGTGAAAGGATGGTTGACTCCATTGACCAATGCTTGTAGGACTTGGGTAGCATCAAGATGGCCGTCAACTACAAGCGCTGCTCGGTAGTCATGGTGATCTCGTCGCGTAGCCAAAGTCGTGAGAACTTCACTCAGATTATGGTCTTTTCCTTCAGCGGTCATCCACTCGCGCAACGTTTTGGCCTGCAGGGCTAGCCGTTTTTCTTGGGGCCCTGACAATAACAAGAGGCCTGGTCCAGTCACTGCTCCATCATCCAGGGGATCTGGCTGTAGGACATGACTGAACTCCTCGATGACTGCGTGAGAAACGGTTCCTCCGTAGCCATACGAGCAAACACCTGCTCGCCGAATGGGGTCTGAGGAGGGCCACGGGGTGGCCTCCTGAACGACCTTCACGCCGGCCTTGTCCCAGTCAATTCGGCTATTGAGCTTTGTCAAGTTGGCCTGGGGCGGCAGGATGCCCTTTTGGATAGTCAGGATTGCTTTTATAAAGCCCATAACTCCTGCACCAGCCTCCAGGTGACCAATATTGGGCTTGACGGACCCAATGTAGCACGGGTCGTCGGCGTGACGGTCAGTTCCGTAGACGCCTGCAATGGCTGATATTTCAGTTGGGTCGCCCAAGGGCGTAGACGTGGCATGAGCTTCCACATATCGCACGGTGCTAGGATCGACACCCGCAACGGTAAGAGCAGTCCGCGCTGCTAACTGTTGCGCTTTGGCATTGGGGGCCATGATGCCGTTCGTCTTCCCATCCTGGGCTACTGCACTGCCCTTGATAACGGCCAAGACATTATCATGGTCAAGCAATGCACGGTGTAGACTTTTGAGGACGAGGGCGCCGGCGCCTTCACCTCTAGCGTACCCATGGGCGTCATCATCGAAGGACTTGCAAGATCCATCAGACGAGATGGCCCCGGCTTTGTCGAGGACGCGGGTCAGTCCCGGTCCACAGAGGGCATTGACGCCTCCAACAATAGCCACCTTTGATTCCCCCAACCGGATGGCCTGAACACCATGATGGATGGCGACGAGGGACGAAGCACAGGCCGCATCCACGGCGCTGCTGGGTCCCATCAGGTTGAGGTGGTAAGAAATGCGGTTGGGCACGCCACAGTATGCGGTGCCTATGCCCATCCAGGCCTCGACATTCGGCAGATCCTCCAGCACTAGCTTGGAGTAGTCGTCCGAGTTGACACCCCAGAAGACCGCCGTGTCGCTCCCAGACAGGCTCTTGGCAGGAATGCCGGCATCCTCAAGTGCTTCAGAGGCCACCTCTAGCGAGACTCGCTGTTGGGGATCCATCTGCTCGGCCTCTTTAGGGGAGATGCCGAAGAACTGACAGTCAAAGTCCTCCAGGCGGTCCAGGAAATAACCACGCGATGTCGTCTTCTTGAGCTCTTTTGCATTTCGTGGATCCCGGCGATAGTAAGGCTCCCAGCGCATCGGTGGGATCTCACTCACTGCACTTTTCTGACTGAGGAGCGATTGCCAGAGAAGCTCGGGGCTGTGGTTGCCTCCTGCCACACGGCAGGCCATTCCCACCACGGCCACGTCGTTGGAGAATTCCTATTCACTGTCAGTCCGAGGTACGCTTGGGCAGAAATGACAACGTCGGGAATAGGGGCCACATACATATTCACTGTATTCAGTCTTAGGGGTTTCAGCTGGTGCTGGGGATGTTTTCCCAGAGGGATATGTAGAAGGTGAAACAGAATTCATGTTTGTCAGTAGCAGTTTGGAGACTCAGTCTCCTTAGCAAAGTCAAGCTTATTCATGAAAATGTCTACAGCTGTCGGTTATTGATGTCCCTTTATATCTTTTGCTCACCAGTACAACATCAGGAAATCCTCCCATCACCCCCCTCCACGGCGGTTTATTATCGTCTCGGAAAAGCCGACATGCAGCATCAACAGAGATAGCGGATTGTGGCTTAGTTTCCGAATGGGGACATCTTTATCTTCATCCATTCATCCATTCGGGGATATTGTCGTGTTTCCGCCATAATGCGGCCAGGTTTCGCGAATAAGATTCATCGACAGATAACGGGGATCTATGGATAGGAGCCAAGAATTCTTCTCCCGTCCGTCCGTAAGCAATGGCAATGGCGATCTTGAGACATCGAGGATTGGCGGCTGCAGATTGTCGTACACCAAGGGCCAAGCCTCTGTCAGCCCTAGGCCTGAAAGGGATGCATGCTGATTTTTGGCCCAAAGGAGTGCCGGGAACGATTTCTTCAAAGGTACTAGATGAGCTATCTCACCCTTTAGGAACCTCATGAGGACTCCATACAGATACTCCGGAGGAGGAGAAGGTGCATTGCTCAAAAACTCCCAAGTGTGGATCAGGCCATTTCAACATGCTTCAACAGGCAGCCCATGGGGAACTGGTTGAATGCGATAGCTAGTATATATGCGATGGTAGAGACACACGACATTTTCTGGATATTCTTTAGGAGAAGAGATTGAATATTCGTGGTTCTTCTGTAAAATCCGATTTTCACCAATTGACCAACCTTCACAAGCATAATGGCCCCATTTGTGCCCTACCATTACTCGGCCGGCCAGTCGACTATTGTCAAGTATGTAATTAGCTCCCTTCACCGGTATTTTGATCGCTGACATAGCCAGATTTGGCGGTCTTCTCACCACCGAGTTCCTCGAACCTCCACCAGGTCGTTGTTTTCTCTTCCGTCAGACATACCGTCACACCATTGAAGGCTCAATCCCGGAAAATCTGCGCAAGCTCATCAATAGCACCGATCGACCAAAAGGTCCGCCTCCGCATTTTCACCAATTCCAAACCGAGTACTTCCGTGTCGGACAGGGAGTGCTCGGGATTGCAGTGGACGGGGTCGTCCGCCGCATCACTCCAGAAGATGGCGAGATCTCGGTCAAGGCGGGTAGTGTGCATAACTTTTTCATCCATCCGGATTCTCCCGAGAGCATGACGGTTTACCTGAGTGCGTCAGACTCGGGGAATGACTACCAGCTCGATCGGGTCTTCTTCGAAAACTGGTACGGCTATTGGCACGATGCATTGTTGCACGATGGAGGGATCGATTGGATCCAGTTCCTCGCGGTAATTATCTATCCTCCGCACAAAATCTTCCGTACCATCGGCTGACATAGTAGTAGATTCAAGATGGCGGGGATGCCTATACACCCGCTCCTGCATGGGTGCCCTTTCGCCGGCAGGTTGGATACTGGACCTGTGTAATCATCGGCCGCTGGATCGGGGGACTCCTAGGGTATAAGCCATTCTTCCGAGAATATACCACGGATTGGGACTTTGCTGTCGCCAAGATGAAGGGTTCCTTCTTTCAGCGGCATCTAGTGCATGCTGCATTCGAGGAGGAGAAATCCTGGACGAAGCAGGTAGAGCTGGAACCCAAGGCTAAGCCTGAAAACGCTGAGTTTGAGCAGTGGACGGACGATATGTCTCCCACCCCATTGACCCTGGGCGCAGTTGCGTATGAGCAGGGGCTGTTTAATGGCGTACGGCCCGGGTCAGCAAATGAGTCTAATGGTCACTCCACAGGGGTCGAGAGCAAGTTGGAGCAGTTAGGTTCTTGGACTCAGCGACGGACAGTGGTGGACAATGCGGGAAAGTAGAGATATATCACTCAACGCCTGTTAGTCTATGAGTCCCGGTTCGTTTGAATTCAATTGTTATTTTTACTCCTTTCTTCCTGCGTAGCGATATGAGATGATGATTGATTGTCTAGACTGAGATATGTTCAGAAGATCTGGACGGCGGGGAAAAATCATGATCTCATGTGGCAGGCGTGTCACTTGCTATAGAGAACGCTACGTCTCTTATACACCCCTATTCAAAGAACTCCTGCTTCCCATAAAGCCCTTTTTCTACGTAGAATATTAAACATAGATCGGTTGGTTGTCGTACACCAGGGGCTAGCAGGATTTCAAAAGCCTCCTCTCTGTATTCTCAAAGGTTGTAGCACACGCTTGACGCCTAACTGTCCATTGAGGCAAGTTTCCCATAGTATTTCGAGGAGAATTACAAAAGCATCTTTGATAATAGTTAGGTAGACAGGACAGGATATAGGCGGAGACAATGTATCTTGCTGTGAGAGCTCTATACGAGCAGACTCCGATTCTCCTTTAGGAACCCTAAACCGTCGCCCACCTAGCTGAGTCCCAATCTCAAAATGGGTTTACCCACGTTGATGAGGACCATAAGTATAGAGAATACCTCTGCCCTGAGGACTACTTTCCGGCGCCAACACTATGGATCTCCTACAGCTCGCACCAACGCACCTTCTGGCGATACTGCTCAGTAGTACGGGCGCATTCGTCCTTGTCACATATCTCCTCCGTGCAGGACATCGACCCCCAGAGCTCCCGAACGGTATGTTATTGCAAAGGATAAGGCAGGAATTCAAATCTAACAGATGCACAGGGCCTCCAACTGTTCCTCTTTTTGGAAACGAACTGCAAGTGCCAAAGTCGGATGCACATTTTCAGTAAAGGACAACTCCCCTGTGATGTAGGGGGCCAACTTGCTAAGTGCTTCACATAGGTTTTCTCAGTGGGCTAAGGAATATGGCGGTTTCTTCACGCTGAAGCGATACAACAACACCACCATCGTCATCAGCGATCAGAAACTGATCAAGACACTACTGGACAAGAAGAGTAACATATATTCCCACCGACCGGCATCATTGGTATCTCACCTGATCACGCAGAGCGACCATCTCCTGGTCATGCAGTACGGGGAGAGATGGCGCATGTTACGTAAAACCATCCATCAATACTTCATGGAGCCCCGCTGCGAGCGCGAGCACTGGAAGGTCCAAGAGGCGGAGGCCAAACAGATGCTGCATGACTATCTGACCATGCCAGAGGATCACATGCTGCATCCAAAGCGTTACAGTAACAGTATCACCAACTCACTTGTCTTTGGGATTCGCACCAAAACTGTCCACGATGAGTACATGAAGAAGCTTTTCTATCTGATGGACAAATGGTCTTTGGTGCAGGAGCTGGGCGCCACCCCGCCTGTCGACTCGTTTGCTTTGTTGCGCTATGTGCCGCAGTGGCTGTTAGGCAACTGGCGGAACCGAGCGGTCGAAGTGGGTGATCTAATGCAGTCCCTTTACCAGACTGTTCTAGATCAAGTGAAAGAGCGCCGCCAACGGGGTGTTCAGCGCGACTCCTTTATGGATCGGGTTCTAGATACACTAAAACAAACTCCGCTCTCCGAGAATGAACTACGATTCCTAGGAGGAGTTCTGATGGAAGGAGGGTCCGATACTTCTTCCTCGCTTATATTGACCATTATTCAGGCCATGACTAAGTATCCAGAAGTGCAGGCAAGGTATGCTGACCGCGCCAAGTTTTTCATCCAATGAGAAAGCTAATAGGGTGGTATTGCAGGGCCCATGCAGAAATCGACTCTATTATCGGCTATGAACGCTCCCCGGCTTGGTCTGACCGGTCCAAGTTGCCCTACATCAACATGATTATCAAAGAATCCCACCGCTGGCGTCCTGTTAGCCCCTTGGGAGTTCCCCATGCCGTTGCGGAAGGTTTGTTGAAACCGGTATTTTCTCTCTCAGAATAACAAGAGATTGGCTAACAAATCTCCTCAGACGACCACATCGATGGGAAACTCATCCCGCAAGGATCAAGCATCGTTCTCAACGTCTGGGGCATGCATCATGACAGTGAGCGATGGCAGGAACCTGAGCATTTCCAGCCTGAACGCTTCGCCGATTTCCCAGCCTTAGCCTCGGCCTACGCAGCGTCCGAACGGCGAGACCACTTCGGTTACGGGGCGGGCCGACGCATCTGCCCGGGCATCCACTTGGCGGAACGAAACTTGATAATCGGCGTTGCCAAGCTGCTCTGGGCCTTTGAGTTCCTCGAGCCACCCGGCAGCGACAGTGACATTTCGGCTCACTCCGGCGCTAGTAAGGGATTCCTTCATTGCCCCAAGGACTATGGATGTGCCATTCGTCTCCGTTCTCCGGAGAAGCGGGGGACCATTATGCGGGAGTTTGCCGAGGCACAAGAGGTTTTTGCTCGATTTGATTAGATTAGAGCATACGCTTGAATATGACGATTACCCCCTCCTCTACTCCATCGGGCATTGTTATGCGAGCTGTCAGCGCGGCATCAAAACCTTATTTTCCTGCAGATCATCCGTGTAATCAATGCAGTATGTTCCGATGTGGATACATTCGAGTTAATAAAAGCCCACAATTGGTATCGCCTGCTTTTTCCTGACATTATCTTACCTATTTGCTTCTAACGGCATAGGATTTTAAGTTTATAGCACCGGGGAAGCCGCAAGGCAAGTAAACCAAATCTATTCTTGCATTTTAGTATTACCACATGGCTACTACATCGTACCTAGAATAGGCAATTTGACCCCTGTACATCGATGCACGTCGCATTGTAGAGGCATAATAGCATCACGGCATAACGGTAACTCCGTTTCTGCAGCTCATGCATATCGCTGCAAGGAGCACCGGAAGGACCTCCTCCGATTTCCCACAGATTGGAACTAATTTTTGAGATAAGGTGAGCGCTCTAGCACGCCTTAGGCTTGGTTGGGTTTCACGGAGTGTCTGGATAGGACTTGGGTTGGATTATCGTGAAGAATTCCTCTAGCGCTCGTTGGTAGTGTTATAGGACTAGCTACACGGTACTCACGCTAGGGTTTAATTTAATTTACTTTGATTTAATTACCAATTTATTGTATTGCCACCTAGCTAACTACGCCTCTTCCGCTTAAATATATTTCTTCACTATCACTATCCATGTCTATAAAATCTGTGATTATATGCCGTTTATAGTTTAGTACTAGTCTATTTTATACCATATACATGACGATCCCACGTGTATCTATCTTTCCAATATAGGACGAAGCTTTTCCATTAGTACTTAGTAAATCTGACCAAAACTGCATGCCCGTAAGATCTCTCACCTATAGAATGATAGACTGAATTCCCTACAAGGCCATTCCAACCTTGGAAGGCTACCTAATGTCTATTATCTTATCTATCTGACTTTGGCCAATAGAACAATCACGCTCGCCTATTCTTCCAACAAAGGGATATGGCAATTCAGCCAAGCTTAGAAATGTCCACGACAATAGCTGACGACATGACACACTAGTGGGATTTGTGGGTGTTTCGCCAGCATATGGCTCTTTTCTAGTTTTTTATTCTGCTCTTCGTTTTTTTCATGCATGTCTCATCCTGTGCAGGGAAGCCCATAATCTACGACCCCTGTATTTGCGCGAGGCTTAGATATGCAAACCTCAGGCATCCAACCCCAACACAACTCATTTTTGTCTACGATCTACCTTTCGGCCCCTCCACCCCCTCCCATCTAGTCTTGAGTAGTCTGGAGGGAAATTACTTTTAAGGTTCCGACCGCCATTTGGAGTCGAATGAATCTGGTCTGAATGAATATCTGAATTTTGCTGTCCTCCACTCCACCGCTCCGTCATGTACTCCACTTTCTCCGCCAACTTCGACACCACGATCGACGCCTCCCGTGAGAAATCAGCTACGCCTATCACAGCTCCACGACCAAAGCGCAATCAGGTTGCTCGGGCCTGTGACTGGTGTCGGCTCAATCGTGTCAGATGCGATGACAAGCAGCCATGTCACAACTGCCTGAATCGAGGAGGTTCTTGCAGCAACACAAAGCCACAGGAGGCCACCTCGCTCCCAGCTGCAAATCGGTAGGAATCAGATATCTATCTCCCTCATGATCACATGGGGATGGGAGTAAATGGTTTGCTGATTCACATCGACAGAGAGTTGCAACGGCTACGAACTGAGGTCAAGGACCTTCAAGATCAAATCGCGAAACTCAAAGATGGAGCGGAAATCCAAGCACAGACGGGTTTCGCGACGCCCCCACTATCGGATGCTGCCCACACTTCGTTCGACTTTGCGGAGCTCAGCAATACCACAGAAGGATGGCAAGGTCTGCAGCAGACGGGACAGATTCACTACGGGCCCTTGTCATCCTCATATTTTGTCTCTCGAATCACTCGCTATCTCTCACAAGCCCTAAACCAGCCATTGGAAGATGCGAAGCTAGAGGCATGCATGGCCCGTTTCAATTATGTTGCCCCGACCCATCAACCGTCTCGATGGGATGCAAGCCCCAACAGTCAGGCGGATCAGCCTCCAGATGGAAACGAGGAGGCCGAGGATCTGACCCGGTCACAAGAGGAACACTTTCTCAATCTGCTCTGGCAGTCTTTTCATTGTGTCTATCCTATCCTCGATGAACGCGAGTTTCAGCAACATTATGACTCACTATGGTCTAATTCCACAGATGGAATGTCTACCCGGAAGCCATCCGCCTTGGTCGATGTGCTATTAGCGGTCTGTATGCAGTACAGCAGCACATTCTTTATCAGTGGAGACAACCAGCAGTCAGATTCGGAGTCTGGATGGCAGACCAAAAACGCGAATCTAGCCAGTCGGACTTACTACCAAAGGGCCCAGAAGCTTCTGCAGAGTGAGCTCGAAAATCCAACCATCATGGTCGTGCAGAGTCACATTTATTCGATTGTCTACTTGTACAACACCTCCCTGCTGAATACGGCACACATTAACCTGGGTGCCACGCTACGAATCGCCCATGCGCTGCGGCTGCATATCCGCCCGCTGGACGGGACCTCCCCCGAGCAGCAGGAGCTACAGCGCCGGATTTGGTGGACACTCTATCGGATCGACAGCCAGCTCTCGATGGCCCTGGGTCGGCCTCCACTCATTCAGTTGTCCCATGTCAGCTGCGGGCTACCGGGGGATGATCGAGAGCATGCCCGGCTATCTGGCACAGTCCTCCTCACGAATAATGAGGATATCAGCTGGCTCAGCTTCCATGTCCAGTGCACAAAGCTCATATATCTTGTTCAGGGTGTGCAGACAGCGTTACACCGGAAATGTTCCCAGTTGCTGAGCGGGAATAAGGTTAAGGATCTATATGACGACCCGCGCCTCCTCGAGAGCTTGGCAGAGTTTCTCGGAGGGGAGATGACAGCCATTCATAACTGGGTTCAAAACGTGCCGCAGTCCCTATGTAATGCTCGCAAGGGGGCGGGGGACCCATTCTCCACCAATCGGGACGCGTTGAATCTGTCTCCGTATAGCCCACTTTGGCTGCAATGCCAACGCCTCCTGCTGGAGCTCCACTATCACCATCTTGTGATCTCGACACTGCGTCCCTTCATGCGATACCCTCCCGTGAGCTCCTCCGTGACCCCACGGACCGACGGTTACAATATCTCCTGTCTGAACCACGCTATGGCAATTACCAGTATCCTCAACCAAGTGCTATCCGAGACAGATCTCCTGCGCGGGTGGTCGCCCATCTTCCAGTACCAGTGGGATGCTATCCTGTGTACCCTGGGATTTGTGCTCGCCAATCCCGTCTGTCCCCCAACCCCTTCTGCCCGCAAGTCATTGCAGACGGCGATTCGCACGCTGGACCTCGTGAGTGATCACTTTTTGGCAGCCAAAAACGCGGCGCAGGTCGTCCGCCAAGTCAGTTGCCAGGCGGATCGACTCATCAATAATGTCCAACAAGGTCTAACTCGGCGACAAGTACCGCGTACGAGCCAGCCCTTGTCCACCAGGGCGCAGAATCCCAGGCCGCCGTCGAATCAGAACTCGTTCGTCGCACCCGGGCAACCGGGGGTCCGGTCCAACTCTCTAAAGCGGGCGCTGCCACCGACTACCCTGGAAATGTCGTCCTACCAGCCAATGCCCAACTTTGAAGCGCGCATGCACCTAACGGAGATGATGCCGATTGGTTCATTACCCGAGCTATCTCCTTCTTTGGGGACGACGGAGTCTCTCTCGATGCCCTCGGCCACCTCTGCTGACATGGTCACCGGTACTGAAGCCCAGTGGCTGCATGCGAGTGCGATGATCATGGATTCCTGGACTACCAATACATGATTAACCGTGTGCTTTTTTCACTATTCCTTTTTTGCCTTACTGCATTTACATTTTGTCCGACTTAGAGTACCATAATCCATAGTTGCTAACCAAGCAGCGGGCTCTGCTAGAGGGGAGAAGTAGAAAAGATACAAACAAACTGGATAAATAACTTATTTATAGTACATATGTAGTGAATTATGTGTTGGAGCAAGGATTAGAATATACCTAATCATATTATCATCTTACGTTGTGAAAATTATAGGAAAATTTTCGTAGAGGACTCTTCTGGATACCAGTAACAAGTTTTACACACAAGATTAGGAATAATTACACTTCCAGATTCTTGCCTTTCTTTTCTTAACAGAGACATTGGGGAGGACCCTCCGTATATTAAGGGGATTGGTATAGAACCCCCCTCGGCCGGAGGTACACCTTCCTAATCGAGTAACGCTAAAGATCACATGATCCATCACTGTCTCGTTACTATTTCTAGACGTCTTTTTATCAATTATACGAAGAAATCAGGGTAATGAAGATATATTAATAGGGTAGAACTAGGTACAGCATAAACCTACGATATATTTGATTTCTCAAGAGTCAAAATGACAGATCAGGTGATATCTTGTCGTGTCAATCCAGCCTGGTGACCTGACACAGACGACCACCAGCCTCGACTTGCCAGTTCTCACTGCCAATAGCCGTCGGCGCATAGAAAGTTTGGAACGGATCATATTTTTTCTTGATCGCGTACAGCGAATTATAGTTGTGACCGTAAAAGGTCTGCTTCCAATCCGGCTGCTGGGGATCCGCCTGTCCGCATGGTAAGCCAGTGGTCTCAAATCATGAATGTCTGTCGTCTTGCCTCGCTCATATAGCACCCCGAATCTGGACTCAAGGCCGTGAGGATCGGCACCCATTTGGTTGTCATCCGGTCCGCCAAGGTTTTCATCTTGGTGAGATTCGCACCGGTGGGCCAGTCTCTGGATGATGTGTGTGTCAGGAAGCATATCGAAACAAAAAAGTTCCACGGCATGTCAGATAAAGAGAACGTACGTAGATAAGATGACGGTCATTGCTGCTGTGCGCCACGCAGGTAGAACTGAATTCCAGACATTGCCAGTCACAGATGACGAGACATTCAGACCGATACCCACGAACGTGACACCATCCGCAGTGATTCTCTGTATGGCATCCGTGAGTTGCCAGTTATTGTGCTGAATGAGGTCGAGCGGAAGAAGACGGCCGCCATATTGCGCGTTTTGCACTAGTTGCGTCGGATCGGGCTCGATCAGTTTTGTATAATGCTGGAAATATGATGGTGACTCGGTGATGTTCATGGTATAGGAAATGTTCAGTTTGTGCAGGTCTTGCAGAAAGGGCGCCAACAGTCTCTTGGCCTCTACTGCGGTATACGCAGGGAGTGTCAGCGGGGTGAGCAGAAACGACGAGTGTGTAATTTGTGCAATCGCCATCCCACCAGATGCGGTGTATGTGGGTAGGTGGCGATGGTAGTGTCCTACAGCTTCAAAGAAACTGTGCGACGAGGGGTTCTTGTTCTCAAATTGGATAACGACGCCTGTGACGGGGAAGTCGGGAAACGCCTTGACGGTCATGGAATACACGACCCCATATGTCCCTCCGCCACCTCCGCTAAGCGCCCAGTACAGATCTGGGTTCTGGGTAGGCGATGCGGTCAGAAATCGGCCCATTCCATCGACAACCTCCCATTCCAAGACTTGGTCGGCACTAAGACCGAACTGAGAGCTCAGGGCCGAGTGGCCCCCTCCTTGCGTGAACCCCCCAGCTGGGCCTACAGTGGAACATTCCCCGGCTACTATCACCAGCCCTTTTAGATAGGCAGCCTTGTTGATGTCCGTGCCTTGAACGCCCGCAGTCATCCGCACCGCTGGCCCGGTATAGTGTGCGTTGGTATAGTTCAGGAAATCAATGTCCTTGAGATAATGGGTCCAGATGGATAGTGCGCCTGCACCAGTCGACTTCCCTAAATAACTAGGATGCATCATTAGCGAGAGCATGGCATTGTTACTGGATGATGCATACTCATGGCCTGTGTTGCGAATGACGAGACGAATGTTTCTTTCCTGGGAAAATCGAATGGTCTGTATGAAGTCGTCTGGGGAGCTAGCATTGACAGCATACAACACCATCGCACCCAGCGTGCAGGGCTTCGATCGGGGGGTAAAGGCATCGCAGGTTTCATTGGCCACGGCGGCTGCCATGATGGAAGAGGAGGATAAATCGCTATTTGATGCGGTTGATTCAACAGGCCGGCGATGGGGCTCGTCGGATGCATTGGATTACTTACTGGAGCTCTGGCTTGGTCCACTGCTGTCTCAGGGAGCGACACTCATTGGCGATATAGAAGGGGTCATGACAAGGCTGTCCTAGTGGTTGCGTGTTCACTAATCGTCCGCCAATGGATGTGTTGAAGCGCGACCAGTCGTCTGAGGACGGCCAACATGTATCACCGGGCATGCATCGGCAATTCGAAGACAATCCAGTCGAAGGTTGTAGGATTGATATGATACAAAATAGGACAAGATATTGGCAGCTGTGAAGATGCATTGTGAAGCGAGCTGTTAAGCAAATCTAATTGCTTTGTATACTCCGATGTGGTCGAGGAGGACATTCTTATAGCTTCTCCGAGAGGCTTCTTGTCACTGTCGATTCCGCAGAATCATGACGATAGCATCCAGCTGCCCGACCCCCAGACCAGACGAGAGGTGGATATCAATTGGGAGCCTGATGCGGTCCCAGATGCGGAGGGATCGCATCCTATCTCCGATGGCTGCTGATGTAGCCTCGGCTCCCTTTTCACGAAGAGTTCTTGTTGGTCTCCAAGATTGTCTCTCGGCTCTTTTGGCTTCATTGGAGTGAGTTGTACAGTCCAAAAGTTGAGACTAGAGCGTATTACCTGCATGATAGTTTTCTACGTGATATTTTTCAGGCTCCGAGATGACTCCGATGCCATTCTACTCGTTGTTTCTCGGAGACTAGGATCGATTTGGAATAGAGTTTGTGGGAGTTGGATCTGAGCCCTCCAGATTAGCATTGTCTAGACTAATCTAGTTCTGTTTCTTTGAGGTCCTATGTGAGCCTCTCTGTGTAGTCTCCTTTGCTGTTGTTGGGACGCATAGGGAGCGGAAAGAGGTTCTCTACAAACAGAGAGCTTACGAAGGGGCATAGCGCGCAGGGTCGTTTTCACCATATTAGGGCCTTAATGCCTGAAATTTGCCTGGCAGAAAAGTAAGGACACCTGAATTACCATTACAGAGAGCTTAGTAATCTGCCAGCCTTGCCCATGAACATGAAGCATTTGACACCATACAAATTTAATTATCCCGGCTTTTTCAGGCGGTTTACTTGATTTCTCTGCCATGTACGAATATGAAGCATTTGGCGCCATACAAAATCCAGCAACCCGCGGAGAAAGTTGAGATATATAAATTTGCATGGTGCCAAATGCTTCCTGATCGTGGGGTCATCGGGCCTAGTTAATCCGTCCCGGCATCATTTACAATACACTGTAAATGGATGCCTAAAAGCGGTCTGGATTCAGGCCAATTCAGGCAGCATTTCAGGCATTAAGGCCTCAATCAGGCGAAAACGACCCTGCGCGCTATGCCCCTTCGTAGAGAGCTACTGAAACCTATCAAACAGAGCAAACAAGGCAAAAAATGCAAATAGGGAATGTCGATTTCGATATCAATTCTTGGGTTTAGGAACATATATCATTGATCTCATTCTAGGTTCTCAAATCTAAAACTGGGTGCCAACATGAATTCCACCATCGACCAACATATTCGTGCCAGATACGAAGCTGGCCAGCGGACTTGCCAGGAACACTGCCACGGCTGCCACCTCTTTCGGCCCACCCAACCGCTTCAGAGGAATCTTCAGCCGCTGTTCCTCCACCCATTCCGGGTTGATCTTTGAATACAACTCCCAGGGACCACCCTTGCACAGAATCGGTCCAGGCGAGATGGCATTGACCCGAATGCCCTTCGGCCCTAAAAAGTGGGACAATTCCTGGACATGCTGCAGCTGCGCTGCCTTGCAGGGCCCATAGGCTGCAGGAGGTGACCGGTAGAATTCACGCCCCATGAAGGAGCTCTGCACGATGATGGATGCCTGGGAAGACTTTTCCAAGTAGGGAGTGGCCGCCTTGACCAGCTCGACGAAACCCATGACATCGATCGCAAAACTGCTCTCCCAGTGCTCTGTCTCGCCTTCCATATGCATCGGCGATGCTACAGCCAGTCAGTTTGCATTCTAACTAGGGAGTGCCGGGAAATAAATCACCATTGGCGATAATCACGTCAATTCGGCCAAGTCGCTGAGCGGAGCTCTCGACCCACTGGACGAGGGCATCTTTGCTAGCAACATCGAATGCCGTTCCCACAGCGCGGGCGGTATTTCCCTCGGGGAGCGTAGGATAGAAGTCATCATACTCAGTATTGGTGACGGTCCGGGCGCAGTAGGATACATTGGCCTCCTCCTCCAGGAATTTATGCACCATTGCCTCTCCCATACCCCGCGTGCCTCCTAGTCCCGCGTTAGTCAGACCTAAGTTGATATATTTCTCTCTCGCTTACCTGTGATAAGCACATGGGCACCTTTGAGACCAGTAATGAGCACCATAATGATAATAACTTTCGAAATAGTTGGTTGGAATGTGAATAGGAACGTGTAGGAAGATAAAGCAAAGAGACCTGAAAACGGCGAAATAGGCTGGAAATAACCATTGGCTCTCAGACTATACGTTAGCCTCCTCAAGTAACAAGTTGGCCAAAATTACCCGATTTGGACAGTCCCCAACTCCGAGACTCCTTTGGGAAGTCAATATATATTTGGACTAGACAGCGAAAGGAGGAACCTGAGATGGGCTATTGTTTTCATTTCCTTTTGAGCCAGTCAATCTCCGCCTTTTCTAGTCGGCAATATGATTCTCTGTTGAAGGGGTTGTGATAGTCTTGCAGCGCTTTCTATCTTCATCATGGTAGATAATCATCATTCGTCTTTAGACGAAGAAAATACACCCATCCAGTCCGATGGCGATGTGCAGAAATCCGAGTTGACTGAAATTGATGGGCCGTCGTCGAAATCTTCACGGATTGCAGCAGGGGAATCGATTGCAGACAGCGTTCGCAACTTCCTTGAAATACGCCAGGGTGGCATTCCCGGTGACACTGGAGTGGTCTTTGACAAGATATCAGCTATTGGAAGCGGAACCGGAGTGAGTACATCTAATCCAACCGAAAGAATCAGGATTAACGCTTGATAGTCACAAGATGCACCCACCGTCTCATCGGCAGCCGAGTCGGCTTTTGGGCTGTTGAGTCCTCTACAAAATCGACAAAGGAAACAGTATTCTCGACCCATTCTCAGCGGATTCTCAGGCACGATCGACCCCGGAGAAATGTTGTTGGTACTAGGTAAACCGGGGAGCGGGTGTACAACCTTCCTGAAGACCCTGTCGGGCCTGTGGGATGAATACAAGGAGATCCAGGGTGAACTCACTGTGGATGGTCACCCACTGCTAGATGTGATGGCACAGCGACCACAGGATATTCTCTTCTGCGGTTAGTCATCGTTTGAGGTTTGTCGTTTTGGACACACACTGACCGACATGTCTTCCTTAGCCGAGTCTGATGACCATTTTCCCACGTTGACTGTGGCGGAGACCCTACGCTTTGCGACCAGAGCACGATGCGGCCCCGAAGTCTCGGCCACTAAAATTGACACGATGGTTGCCCAGCTAGCCAAGCTAGTTGGTCTTGAAACCGTCTTGAATACGAAAGTGGGAGATGCGAAGATACGAGGAGTCAGCGGCGGAGAGCGACGGCGAGTGTCTTTGGCGGAGGCCCTGGCCACTTGTGCCCAGTAAGTGATATCTTCTGCTCATTCAAGTACCAAACTAGCCATTCCTCGACTCACACATTCTTACAGTCTGATTTGCCTGGATAATCCAACGCAAGGACTGGACTCATCCACGGCGGTCGAATTCATGGAGATGATGCGTGAGTGGACGACACAAAGTCGATGTGTGGCCGCGATGAGCGTCTACCAAGCCAGTGATGCAATTGTCTCCTATTTTGACAAAGTCCTGGTGATCAACTCTGGTCGTCAGATCTTCTATGGCCGTGTACAGGAAGCGAAGGCATATTTTGAAGATCTCGGGTTTGAGTGTTTATCGACCACCACCGTCGCCGACTTCCTCAATGTGATGTCCGCTGATCCGGACGTGCGACGAGCCCAAGAAGGCAAGGAGAACCAGGTCCCCCGAACGGCGGAGGAGTTTGAGCGTGCTTTTAGTGCGAGTCCTATCTACCAGGAAATGCAAGTGTCGGTGCAAGTGGCCAAGGAGCGTTCCCAAACCAATCCCAGTCCCCTTGTCAAAACATCGGCCTTTGCTCTCCCTATATGGCATCAGATTTGGTACTGCGCCAGCCGCCAATTTCGCATCGTCACCAGTGATTATAGCTTGTGGGCAGTGGAGCTCGCCACAATCGTCGTTCAAAGTCTGGTATTGGGCACGCTGTTCCGAAATCAGCAGCGAACGACCAATTCCTTGTTCATTTTCGCGTCTTCTTTATTCTACTCGGTCCTAGTCCCGGCACTGCAGTCTATGGCTGAATTTGGGAATGGATTCGCTCAGCGACCGCTCATCCTGAAGCAGAAGCGATACCAGATCTCTCGCCCGATTGCATACGCTCTTGGCTTGGTCACCACGGACGTTGTGTGGAAGGTGGCAGCGATCTGTTACAATATTCCCCTGTACTTCCTGACCGGATTTCAGCGGACGCCCGGGAACTTCTTCACCTGGTTCCTGATTATCTACCTTGAGCATCTCGCCCTGTCCATGTTCTTTCGCTCGGTGGCCATATTCTCTCCCAACATGCATCGGGCTGTGCTGCCGGTGGGGATTTTCTTTAATATGTATGTCCTCTACACGGGGCTTTACGTTCCCGCACCACAGATGCAAGTATGGCTCGGGTGGTTGCGATATCTAAATGTCAGTGGGTACCATATCATGGGATTTGGACAAATGCTAACATGTGACAGCCCTTGTATTATGCATTCGAGTCTGTTATGGTGAATGAATTCGGAGATCTGAGCTATCAGTGCAGTATCTCGGATCTGGTCCCATCAGGGCCAGGATATACCGATATAGCCCACCAGGTCTGTACCGTGGTGGGATCGCAACCCGGGGATCGTCTCCTATCCGGGGCTTCGTATATTCACGCCCAGTATGGATTCAAAACCTCCCATCTCTGGCGGAATGTAGGGATTAACGCGGCCCTATTCATTTTCTTTGCCCTTTGTTCAGGGTAAGTTATCAGACGCTGAAGCCTAGTTCATGGAAACATCTACGACTGACACTGTGATTTAACAGGATCGGGATGGAGATGCTCAAAACACCCGCGGGTCAACTAGCCACAGTTTTCTACAAGAGCAGCTCACGAGGAATTCACCGTCGCGATAAAATCGATAATGAAACAGGACCAGCCCACGGAAATGACAGTTTGGACATATCGGCTGGGCAAGGCAACGACGCAAATCGGTCACAAGGAAGTCAGAGTAACACCCTTTCATGGACCAGTCTCTGCCTCGACATCAAAACCAAAGATGGCGATCAGCGTCTGCTTAACAATCTGAGTGGCTCGGTCAAGAGTGGACAACTCAAGGCTCTAATGGGGGTCTCGGGTGCCGGGAAGACAACCCTGCTGAACGCACTGGCCGGTCGTTCCACCATTGGGACTCTCACAGGAACTCTGGCGCTCAATAGTCAAGTGCTTCCCACGTTCTTCCGAAGTCGAATGGGCTACGTGCAACAGCAGGACATTCATCTTCCTACTCAGACAGTGCGCGAAGCATTGCAAATGACGGCGCGACTTCGACGCCCAGAGTCCATCCCTCTGGCGGAAAAAAATGCCTACGTTGAAAAGGTGATTGAGTGGTTGAATATGGAGCACATTGCGGATGCCTTAGTTGGTGTCCCCGGGGCCGGGCTCAATCTCGAACAACGGAAGAAAGTCAGTATTGGCGTGGAGATGGCATCTAAACCAGAAATCCTATTCCTGGATGAACCGACCTCGGGTCTCGATGGCCAATCCGCGATGCTGATCGCTCGCTTGCTTCGTCGTCTGGCAGACTCGGGACAGGCCATCCTGTGCACGATCCATCAACCGGCAGCAGAGCTCATCGACCAGTTTGACAAGTTGTATCTACTGAGCCGCGGAGGGAACTTGGTCTATGATGGTCCTCTTGGAACTCGCTGCCACGAGGCAATCGAGTATTTCCAGCCTCGGAGTCGCCCCTACGGCCCAGAGGAGAACCCAGCAGAGTATTTCCTGGAGGTTATTGGGGCTGGGTCTCGAAACGACGCCCATGTGGATTGGGCTGGTCTCTGGCGTGATAGCCAGCAGGGCAAGGAGCGAGAGAAAGCAGAACAAAGTCTGGTCCCTACCGCAGAACAAGCCCCACCGCTGGAGCAACAGTCCTTGTATTCGGTACCTTTCCATGTACAGCTGTGGGTGGTGGTTCAGCGAACGTGGCTGTATTATTGGAGAGAACCGGATTATGTCACATCGAAGCTCTGGATGAGCGTCGGCAACTCCCTCCTCAACTCCCTCACCTACTTGCAGTCTCCCAACACAGAGCGAGGGGCATATAATCGGGTCTTCTCTGCTTTCATGTCCCTCATCGTGGGCCCCCCTCTAGGGCTTCAGGTGCAACCACGCTTCGTGACCCTGCGGGATATTTTCGTCCACCGGGAGCGAGAGAGCTTGACCTACCACTGGCTAGCATTTGTCTTATCTGCGTTCATCGTGGAACTACCCTTCACATTTCTCAGCTCGCTAGTCTATTGGCTGTTGTGGTACTTCCCCGTTGGCTATTTCTACGCCCCCTCGCGCGCAGGGTACAGTTTTCTCATGTACGAACTCTTTGGAGTCTTCGCTACTAGCCTAGCCCAGCTGTGCGCATCGCTAATGCCCAACATCGAGGCAGCCTTTGCCGCCAACGGATTCTTCTTTATGTTTTGTAACACCTTTGCGGGGACGCTTTCGCCAAAGCCAGTGACACCCTCGGGTTGGCGCTGGTTTTACAATATCTCTCCCCTCTTTTACTTGGGTGAGGGTGTCACTGTGGACGTGCTGCAAGATTTACCCATCCGATGCGAACAGTCGGAGGTTTCAATCTTCTACGCGGCGAATGGCACGACCTGTGGGCAGTATGCCAAGGATTTCCTGGAAACCGCTACGGGATATTTGCTTAATCCCACCAGCACGACGGAGTGTCAATACTGCCGGTATCGCGACGGACAATCATACGTAAGCCCTAGTCAGGAGAGAGCAAGGAAATGGATCAAGTCTGGAAACTAATCATCAGTAGTACCAACAATACGGCTATGAGTTTGCTCATCGGCATCGGAACATTGGTGTTTTCATCGGGTTTATCGCGTTCAATTTCACGATGGTTCTGGTGATGACCTATCTTACCAAAACGCGCCGTCAGTGATGGAGGAGGATAGATTGTGGTCTGCTATGGCCTCAGTCTAGGAGGGGAATTTGAATTGGGGCAAATTTCTTGATTGGTAGTAGAAAAGTAGAATAGAATAGAGAAATCTAATTTGGATGAGCTGTTTCTCTTCGAATACTTTTCGTATCCCTCTTTTTGGAGTGTTATGTTCTTAATTGTATCAAACTCCACCTTCCTACTAACGGATATGATTGACGTCCACCACAGCTCCGACTCCTCGATGATCTTTCTTGATATAGTCCTTTCTCCGTGCAGAACTGAATGGGGAAATTGAATTATACCGGCATGAGGAGGCGCGGCATTACTACCACGACGAGCTAGCTTCCTTGGCCAATCTAGTTTGGAAGCTCAACCCCGACTTCCCCATGGAGTAAGTCACAACGGCATCTCATATCAAGGAGCCTTGGCTACCTAGACCTTAACGGTTGTGGATCGGCAGATGGCGGGGACAGGCTTATGCGTATTTAGACAAGTCTTTCTTCAGGCAAGTTAAGGTTGTGAGAATTTTATTCTAACTGATCGGAAACCCTATTTTTCCTCACTTTGTATCATTGCCTTTATTTGACAATCCAATCCAGCACAAGATGAAGCTGTCAGCTGAGGGAACGGTTATGTCTAAAGAAGAGGGAGCTCAGTTGAGCTACGAAGCCTCATCCTCTCATCCCAGAAACATCAAAGAGCAAGATTTCCAGCCTATCCCGCAGATTGGCAGTCCAGTAAGGTGCCCTATCTTCACACTCGGGAGTAAAACATCCTCTAACTCTCCATGGATTGCTACTAGACTGCTCTGGGCATGGGCGCATTCGCAATTGCCTTCACAACTCTATCGATGAGTCTAATGGAATGGCGAAGTGCAGCTATTACCAATGCCTATATTGGTAACTGCTTTTTCACAGCGGGCTTGGGCTTGGTGCTAGTGGCCCAGTGGGAGCTCGTGCGCGGGAATTCCTTTGGCCATACGGTCTTTGGAGGGTTTGGTGAGCATATCGTTCCCTCATTCTGCCGTCTTTCGTGTATCACGACCGATATCTGATTAATGTCGCTCCCTTTTCCAGGATTGTTCAACTTGGCTTTTGGGGCGATCAATGCACCGGCTTTTGGGGTGGCGGATGCCTTTAAAGACGATCCTGCCGCGTTGAATAATGCAATTGGATATTTCATGCTAGGTCAGCCCAACCTTCTTGTGGACGGCCCTTTCTTTCCATGTCTTTTTTTTAGCTGGGGTTTTGGCTAATATGAAGATATAGTGTGGGGGATATTCGTTCTATTCTTTACCGTTGCTGCAATGCCTATGTCAGTTGATACACATATATATACAGATACCCAGTCTGAAAGGTAGTCGCAGCTAACCAGAGACAGGAACCTGGTATACACGGGCATGCTCGGAACATCCCAAATCACATACACCCTGTTGGCTGCATCGTACTTCTCGTTGGCCGACGATCATGCATCTACTGGAGTCGCTCTGAAGAAGACTGCGGGTGCATTCGGATTTGTCTCGGGCTTGTTTGCCTGGTACACGGTCGGCCATCTGATGTGTCAAGACGCACTGCTATTCTCTTTTCCCTTGGGGGATACGAGCCCCTTGTATATGCGATTGCGGCGACAGAGGAAAAGCTAGGTGTTAAATTATTAAGGGGAAGTGGTCAGAGTTTGGGGGGAATGTGATCTAGAAGGCCTGCTGAGTGTACCGGAAACGAGTGAGCTTTAGGGATGTCGGTGTTGATTCCTTCTACGAGAGTGATTATGAGATTCAATGGAAGCTATCTCGTTGTGGAATACATTATCAGGATATAACTAAACTGCGTAAGCCAAATCAAACTATTTGCATGCCGGAGATTCTGCTATACGGAAGAAGCAATTAGGGCTATCGTTGAAACAACCCTAACTCCATGTGATTAATGAGAGTTAAATAAATGTAACCAATCAAAACTCGACCTGCTGCCAGTACGCACACCGGTCTCTATTAGTCAAGTCCGGCTTGACACTCACCCCGTCATCTCCCAAATAAAGTAGATGAGCTTGTCCGTGATAGGGAGGCACATGAGGGTCTCCCTTGGCATTTGGGTTCCCCGTCTTGACAAACTGCACAATCTGCCGCTGCATGAGTTGTGCGATGGTGGCATTCAGCGAAGAGTCGGAACCTTGCCCATTGTAGAAGACAGAAGGGGTGTCCGAAAGATGCATCGCAGGCGCCACAGCATATTCAATCGCATACCCTGGCGTTGCGACGGCTCTGTGTAAATACAGGGTGTTGCAGGTAGTGGAGAGCTCGGACCAGAGCAGATTCGCCCGTTCGTGCTGACTGCGATACGGCCAGCTGCCATTGAAGATGGGTGGATAGAGCACTTGGGCGATGTGAGAGCGTACGCTGGCATTGGCACTGCGGAGCAACAGATTCGCGTATCGGTCGAAGGTGGCATCGTTAGTTACATTGGCTGGGGCTAACATGAAGCCTTCATTTGCGGTGTATGAGGTAAGGATTCGCACTGAGGGATCAACCTTGCGCTCGAGCAGAAGTCGCTTAGGACTATTGGGTACAAAGTTTCCATCAATGGCCTATCATGATGGCGAGAAGACCGTTTGGTGAGTATTCAGATAGACGAATAACGGGGAATACGAGTAGGTAGCTCCGGATTAGACTCACTGGTCCGAAAACGCCTGATCCATATGGACGGGATGCCACCAGCTCATAGTTAGCGTCTAACAAGGCCTGGGACGGCAGACGCCGGGCCTCCTCCAAGCTGCTGACATTCAACAACGCCAATAATTTATCCAACAGGTCGTCCTCGATGGCCGGTGTCTTCGTACCTGGTTCCCAGGCCGGGCTCTGCGCAATGATCTGGGCGAATGGAGGGCGAATGGCGCGTCCGTAAGCCGTCAATTGCATCGTGATCGAGCCCCCACCGGCCGAGACTCCCATGACGGTCACGCGCGACGGATCACCGCCGAACTTCGTGATATGCCGTTGCACCCATTTCAGCGCCAGACGCTCATCATACAGCCCGGCATTTGGTACGCCCCCTGCCGATCGAAACTTCTGACCTGATAGCCATCCAAATATGCCCAGCTGGTCGATACATTCCTGGATAAGCCACTGAAAGATGCAGACGAATGTCCAAAGTAAGAGGAGGAGACCACGTACCCGATAATTGACTCCCACATAGATTATACCAGAGGACCCATCTCTACTGCTGGCTGCGATCAAGCCAGAGGGATCCTCATCCGACTTGGACCCGGACACATAGGCTCCGTCCTGGAAGTATACCAACACGGGCGCACGGGGATTCGATTTTCCTTTTTCGCCTTGTCGTTTGGAGATCACCCTTTCTGGGACGTAAACATCGAGAAACAGGCAATCTTCTGACTCCAGTGGATTCTGGTCCGCGACAGGCCGCGGCTTAGTGCAGTCATCCTGTCGATAGACCTGATCATACGCCGCGGTGAAATTAAACGAAGATCCCTCGGTCACGGCAGTAACAAATTCGCTCTGCACATTGAACCAACAAGCCTGAGACTGGGGACATATATTACCAAGTCCCTTGCCATTGACAACGTCGTCGCTGTGATTGCGTGGGGGAACAGGTAGCGCGAACCGCAAGGGGCCCAGTGGCGGTTCGGCATAGCGGATATTGGAGAATTGGTAATAGCGACCAGTGGACTAGGTTTATCATGGACCTGACAGTTAGAGGGATTCTCAAGCCTTTGATTTCTCCCACGGGTAAAGACTCACGTTGAAACTAATAGCTTGGTGCCGCTGATAGCCCAAGTCCACAATCGGCAATTCGGCTCCAGCAGTCCCACATGCGATCAGCAGCAGACAGGCCCAGTCAATCTTTTGCATTGGGAATGAATTACGGCGAACAATGAACACCAATGTTTCTGGTATTTACTTCTGGTACAGTTATTTATATGTAGCATATGTAGATGTTATTGTCCTACTTCTAAATAGAAACGAATAGCAAGTATAGGAGATGGCTCAAAGGGGTTTCCATATAAATTCCGTTTACAAAAGGAATTTACGGATGCAGTACCTGATTAGGAACCATTACCAATTCTATTTGGATACTTGACGATCGACCCTATTTGATATCTTACGGAGTTACTATAGACCGCGCAATTTATCCAATTTCTCTGACATGTCACCAGAGCAATTTAAATTATCCCTTCTGTACCCTGCTTGGACAGCTCGGAACCAAATTCTACTTTTGCAGATCGGTGTCTATATGGAGTATTACGAATATGCCTATATATACCACTTAGGAACTATGCTTTTGTTCTCTTCTTCGGTTTGCCCCCACGTCAGGATCTTGGAACACCACTTTCAGATGTCAGAAAACAGTAATGTCAATAGGTAACGAGGTGCTCTTTGACTCACCTTACTGCTGTGGGTGACGAACTTAATACTGTCCTCCGTAGACGGTCGTGTCGTTCTTGCCACGCTCCTTACGGCCGGCATGGACGAGGCCTAGAAATTGCATTAGCGATGCTCCTGGTATAGTGCAAATGACTCACCCATATATGCGAGCACCTGGCGCTCACTCTTACCTATCTCATCGCTGGTCTTGGCTTCAACAATAACTAGGTTTGTCTCGAGGTTCGCCTGCGCTCCGTACCAGAGCGCGTAGTCTGGACGGCCGCACAACATCTTCTCCTTAGCATTCATCTTGATCACCATGTGAAATGGGGTCTCATAGCCCCAGGACACTAAATCTCCACGAATCATTCGACCATCTTCCTTATCCCATCCCAGGACCAAACCTAATATCACGTCGAGACGTGTACGCACCAGAGCCTCGCTTCCCTTGGAGTCATGATTTGCGAAATTGAGGTACTGGAGGGCTTGGCCTAGTTTGATGAATGAGTAAACGGCATTTTTTGAAGAGAAAGGTGTACCCACAGAGGAGTTTTGCACTATTTCGGTCCTGATTCTCTCTTAGATCGCGAAATCTTCCCCTTAATCAAAATGCACAACAGCACATGTTGGGAAGGGCTTCACCCCTCTGGGTGAAGAGTATTCAGGTGGGTGAACTGCCTCCTAAAGCCGCCTGAAGTCCGAGGGCGTAAAGCGGCGAGCCGCCCACGACTGAACGGTGGGCGCTAGGTGAGCATCGTCATAGTATGGCTGTTTTATGTTTTTGTTTTTTTGTCACATTCAATGTGAATGAAATCTAGTAATAATTGCGGAGCGAAGCGAAGCAAGTATAAATCACAAGGCCGTACGTGTGTCACGTGGCCAATTCTCTCCTAGGGCATCATGTGACCGGGTAAATGCAACAGTTGGCTAGCTCATTATTTTTGGACCAATCAAGATGCATTGGTATCATTGCGGAGCGAAGCAATAAACGATGAAACCAATAAGCCAGTAAGAGGAGGGCTTTGTGCAGCACTAGAAGCTAGAATCAGTCACTTCGCTCTGCAACGATTATCTCGACGGCCGCAGCGTATATGTATTTGTCTTGGGCCCCGTCGTGGAACTCTATAATAGCCTTTTTAGAAATTAAGCTTAACGAGACTACCTATAAATGAGCACTTGATGTATTTATCTATATGACGCTTTGACCATCTAGGGACCACCCCATTGTATACCGTTTTCAGATGGTGAATTCTCCAGGCCTTTGGGAGATTTTTGCCTCATGAGGGTCGAATTTCTTGGTCGAGTGGGCGTACATGCTGACCTTCTTCTTCAAGGGATACTTTCTCGTCGCCTTGGATGTTGACATCCACGCCGTAAGTTCTATCACACGAGACAAAATCTGGCATTGACAGTCGTAGTGACAGATTAACCATGGAAAAGTATACAACAAAAGTACTATACAACCATTCCAAGGACCTTCTAGGGTTGGGAGCTTGGAAATATTCTGATTAGAAATTCCAGAGTGGATCCATGGATACAGGTCCAGATGGACCCATTTATTACCCTTTTTAGGCACGCCATCTCTGTAAAATGATTAGGTGAGCTCGGGAATTCCCGAGGTCCCACTCGGATTCCGAAAGGAGATTCGGAGTTTGTCAGTCAAATGGTAAATTATGATTGGTCAGATCCCAAACTGACAAAGATGAATGTCCCAAAGGAGTAATCTATTGTCACCAAAATGTCCTCTTCCAGCACTGCTCGCATTTAAATAACTAGCTAGGGTCAGGCAATATGGATATTGATACTTTCGCCAACCTCCTCCACTGGATATCTATATTCCTACCTTCCATTTTCAGCTTAGTACGACTCCATTGGGTAGTGGTACCTGGATAGCTCGACTTTCAAACGGCTGACTAAGTGGCACTCGCTTTTCACCATGAGTGTAGACAATCCGACGCCGAGTGATAGCGTGCTCGAAAGTCAAACCCCAGATCGTGTGGACGAATCGATCATCAAAGCTGTGGATGCCGAGAAGGATGCAGCCCCACGCCGAGAAATTGTAGGCCTCCGCTGGCTGCTCGTCTGCATTGCTGTTTTCTCCGCCAATCTGCTCTATGGTTTGGACAATACCATCGTGGCAGACATCCAGGGCCCCATTGCGGGTGACTTCGATGAATACACGCGGCTGGGCTGGCTCGGGGTGGGCTTCACCTTGGGATCGGTAGTTTTCATTCTCCCACTGGGAAAAGCTTACGCCATCTTCGACACGAAATGGCTCTTCCTCGGTTGTTTGACTATGTTTGCGGCCGGTAGTGCCCTCTGCGGTGCTGCCCCCAGTATGAATGCCATCATTGTCGGGCGTGTGTGGGCGGGAGCCGGAGGAGCGGGCATGTATCTGGGGTAAGTTATTCCACGACGGGCAGAGATCAGAGAGAAAAGACTAACCAAGACAACCTAGAAACCTGAATCTGATTACCATCCTGACCACCCCTACGGAGCAGCCTGTGTATGTGGGTCTGGTTGGATTGATCTACGGCACCGGCTGTATTCTGGGTCCCATCATTGGCGGTGCTTTTTCCGATAGTTCAGCTACCTGGCGATGGGTACGTGTGGTCTCTTTCTTGTTTCTTCGGCGAGTGTGCTAACCGTAATGAATAGTCATTTTATCTCAATCTGGTCATTTTCGGAGTCATGTCGCCCATCTATGTTTTCCTCCTGCCCTCCTTGCCACGACCAGCGGGCGAAGGCCGCAGCTTCATCAAGAAGCTTGTGGAGCTGGACTGGGTGGGAACAGTCCTGTCCGCGGGCATGCACATCTCCATTATCTTGTTCATTGTATTTGGTGGTGTCGAATGGTCCTGGACGGATGGGCGGAATATCGCGCTGTACGTGGTCTCCGCTGTCTGCACTATTGCCTTTGTGCTCAGCCAGTACTATTGTGTGGGGACCGACAAACAAAACCGATTGTTCCCCGGCGAGTTCTTGCGGAACCCTACAATGCTCCTCCTCTACGTCATAATGGCCTGTGGCGGTGCCTCGCTCTTCGTGGCGGTTTACTATATCCCACTTTACTTCCAGTTCGTCCAGGGTGACTCCGGCATCATGTCGGCGGTGCGGCTGTTGCCGTTCGTCTGCTTCTACGTGGCTACAATTCTGCTTTGTGGATGGGTCATGCCCAAGACTGGCTTCTTCATCCTCTGGTACCTGGTCAGCGGCATCTTTATGCTCATTGGAGCCGTGTTGATGTACACTGTGAAATTGGGTACCAGTCCCTCCAGCATCTACGGGTACTCTATCCTGATGGGGTTGGGCATGACCACCACGCAGGCCGCCTATGCGGTTGGACCGACCATTGTGAGCCCCGACCGGGTGGCCGAGTGCCTCCAGTTCATGAACATCGGCCAGGGCCAGAGTCAGCTGTTGGGATTGGCTATTGCAAGTGCCATTTTCCAGTCTAAGACCCTCACAGGGCTTACTGCCCTCTTGGGAAACAAAGGATATTCACATGCGGACATCCAGGGTGCGGTTGCTGGCGCTCAGAGTACTCTGATGGAGCGGCTGCCCCAGGCCTTGAAGACAGAAGCTCTGGAAGTGATTGTGAATTCAGTTAGTGATGTCTACGTGATGGCGATTTCGGCGGGGGCTCTCTACGTGGTTGCATCATGTCTGTTGCCTCGCCGTCGGTTCTAGAATCTTTCGCAAGGAGGGAGAGCAGCGAGTGTTGACGGGATACTGGCTTTGTATCTGTGACTGGAGTGTCTTAGATAATGGAGTTTTATTTTCTCATTCATTTTCTCGAGCGCGAGGTAAGCCTCTAGGCGTGTCCTCCGCTCTTTTAGTTTCTAAGTCATCATAATACAGAGCTTGTGGATTGAAAATCTCTCCTGGAAATAGACTAGAATATAGCAGATGAGAAGCTTCCACGATTCAGATACAGCAGACAAAGCCCTCTCTAGTCGATAAGTGTTGCAAGTCATCTCCATTTGTCATTGGGACATAGCAATTTACCAATATAGTAGTCTCCGGAACTCCGACTCCGCATCCCACCTAGTACTAGTAGAGAGATAAAAGACATATCCGGCCTTGGCCAAGTAACCTGCCTCCTTCAGGTGTGGTGACCCTGTAATTGAACTTGCGCAGTGGTAATTATATCATCTCATCTTCTAAAATTGGCGTTGATATAGTAGTATAGCATGAAGGTTTTCGAACAGCCCTCTAAAAATTGTCCGCACTGTAGCTATACGAAAACCCTTCTGTATTTATTATAGAAGATATATCTATTTTAGTACGTAAAGTACTGATAGTGAGCGTGAAATTATCCTATCTGCTTCGAGAGTCAAGAAGCCGATGATTGGCCGTATGTACCTTTTATATGTAAATCCCTAACAAAAGGTACAATTACCCACCAAGCATTACGGCGTGGTGACCTTACCCCCCTTTAGCCAGGGCCTATATATATCTAGTCTTTCTCTTCCCATGCCATCTTCTCTGATGTTGTAGAAAATAAAGTTCTACTTCACACAGCTATCTATTATTCAGTCAAAGTACACGCCATGGCCACCACTCTTCCCAGCACCTACAAGCAAGCAAGCTTCAAGGAAAAAGATGCCAGACTGACTCTAGAACAAGTCCCATTGACTCTGCCCAAACGCAACGAGATTCTGATCAAAGTGGAAGCCTGTGGCGTATGTCATTCGGACCACTTTGCCGAGACGAATCTCATGGGAGGAGGATTGTGAGCTATCCTACTATAGAATCCATGGAATTCCGACTAATTTCCGGTTCTTTTACAGTCCTATCGTTCCCGGCCATGAGATCATTGGGCGCGTAGCTGCAATTGGAGCGGACGAGGCCATCTGGAAGGTAGGGGATCGGATTGGGGCCACATGGCATGGCGGGCACGATGGTATGTATCTCTATTATTTCCCCGACAAGCCTGGTTCCCCTAATGAGGCTATACTAATGCACTGGATAGGTACCTGTGCGGCATGCAAAAGAGGCTACTTTCAGATGTGCGATCATCAGGAAATCAACGGGATTTCACGAAATGGCGGCTGTATATCCCCTTTCTCTTTTCATCATCACTCTTTCGTCATTCCAACGGAATAAGATTAAGCTCACACCCCGGTAGATGGTGAATATTGCATCATCCGTCGCGAAGCCGCCGTCCGAATTTCCGACGAGGTCAACGCTGCCCAATACGCGCCCATGCTCTGTGCTGGCGTAAGCGTCTTCAATTCGATGCGCCACATGAACGTCCCGCCGGGTGGGCTAGTCGCAATCCAGGGTCTCGGCGGGCTAGGCCATCTAGCGATCCAGTTTGCGAACAAACTTAGCTATCGCGTTGTGGCACTCTCGCGGGGCTCTAAGAAGGAAGAACTTGTGCGGAAGTTGGGCGCGCATGAGTATATTGACACGAGTCGGGAGGATGCTGTCGCTGCATTGCAGAGAATGGGCGGCGCTTCCCTAATTTTGTCTACGGCGCCTGTGCCGGAGATAATCAACCCACTGATTGAAGGGCTCGGTGTGATGGGAAGGTTGTTGATTATGTCCAGTAAGCTTCTTTAAGGCCGTTTCAAGGCGTTTGGTTGGATGCTGATAAAAATAGTTGTTCCTGGTATTGAGGTCAGCACTGGCATGTTGGTGAGTGGAATTTTCCTCTGCTTCTCTGAAAATCAGACAGAAAGAGAAAACAGAAGAGATGCGATGAAGATATTAACCCCAGTTTAGGTCGGAAAGGGTAAATCCATCTGGAGCTGGCCCAGCGGCCATGCCATCGACTGTGAGGACGCCATCGCGTTTGCGGAGATACATGACATCCACTGTATGGTAGAAGAGTTCCCCTTAGAACGGTGCAACGAGGCATTTGGTATGATATCTCCTTCACTTCTTGGGTTTATTTTCTCTGACCTGCTGTCCTTTCTGCAGAGGCTATGATGGAGGGAAAGGTGCGGTTCCGCGCCGTTCTCACTATGGAGTAATGAGTTTGAGGACATATTGAAGGGCTACAAGTGCACCAAGCAGGGAGAAGAGGGAGAGAGTTAAGATTCCTATCCAAGGCAGGGCCCGGCTTAGTCTGCACTGAGGGTGTGCTGCCTGAGGCACCAAAGTTACGGCCTAAGGCCTCAATTTCCTGTCGGATTAACCGTATCCGTGAAATATATGGTCCAATCAATGGGTGTCAATCAGTCTGTATTTCTGAACTGGCTCAGCTGGCAATTTATGGAGCCTGATTACATAAACTAAAATAAACAATACACATTGTTAGGATTAATAGATCCTCCGGTATCCTCCGGTATGCTGACTTGCATACTCCGACATTTCCAACAGGACATTAGGGATGATTTCCATTATACTTGTCAGATAGTATTTACGAAAGGCGGAGTATGAAAGTTGCGATAAATTGAGTATTTGTGTATTTACTTCTATTTCGCGCTATGTTCCACGTAATATTCTTCATCTTCTCTCGTAGTCGCCCCTTAACAGTTGCCTGAAATGTCGCACGCGATCTTCTCTGCCAGTGCATCTACTTAGGGTTAGACATTCTGTTTGAAGAATATATATAATAGGAAAAGACTTACAAATTGTCGATTGGGGGTGTCCTGGTGGTAGGAAGGGCAAGGCCGAGGCATCCACTACTCGCAGGGCGTCAACGCCAATGACTCGAGCTTTGGAGTCTACCACTGCCTGAGTATCATTTGCCAAACCCATAGCGCATGTACAGGAGGCGTGAAAGATGGTGTCGAAGCTCTTCCGGACATGATCCAGAATTTGCTTATCCGTAGCGACTTGAGAGCCTGGGAAGTATTCAGGCCCGATGAGAATGGGTTGGATAGCAGTGGTATTAAAGAAGTCGCGGGTCCGCTTGAAGGCTGCCACTGCGATTTCGACATCTACTGAATCGGTGAGCCAGTTGGGGTTGATCACCGGTGGCACTGCGGCGTCAGGCGATGCGATCGTGATATTTCCCCGCGAGCGCGGCGTACAGAGCGAGACTGCAAGCGAGGCGTAATTGTAGCCATCACTGGGATTGTCTCGGATATAGTTCCTCTGGTAGCCGAAATATCCGCCCATTGTCAGGAACTCCACCTCTGGCCAGTCACCCGGGTATTCGGCGAGCACCTGAAGGGTGTGGTTCGAGAGCCAGGCCGACCGCTTGGGTTCGGGGATCTTTTCCCACGCCAGAATATCCGACGTGGGATTGGCGTAGATTCCCGCTGCTCGTTCGTTGTAGTCACGGTTGGCCTGGGCCTCGAACGCCTCATTTAGAAGGGCTGACTGCGTGATGACATTCACCCGGTAGGAGGGAGCGTAGATGATATGATCCTGCATGTTTTGGCCCACGCCAGGCCGGTCCGCCACGAGGGGAATATCATGCGCCTGCAGCGTGGCTGCGGGACCCACGCCGGAAACCATGAGTAACTGGGGGGATTGGAAGGCTCCTGCCGAGAGCACAATCTCCTTGCGCGCAGAGAGCGTGTACGGATAGCCCATTGTCTCCACATTGACCCCGACAGCCCGCTTGCCGTCGAAGAGTATGCGTTTCGCCAGGGCGGATTGAAAGACCGTGAGGTTCGGATCGGCGAGGCCCTGGCGCAGGAAGGAGGTCTCGGACGACTCGCGATGCATGGTCGTAGCATTGATCGTGTATAGGCCGTAGGACTGACCCAACAGGGCTCCACTCTGGAACCCGTTGCGCACCTGAAGACCAATCTCCATGAAGGCATGTTTCGCCCATGTCGCAAAGGCTTGGGCGTAGTGAGGATAGGTCACGGATAAGGGGCCGTCGCCGGTGCCCAGCACGGTTGGGTCGCTTACAACACTAGCATTGGCTCCGCGCAGCGCGTCATCTGCGGGAGTGTAATTAAGGCTCTTTTCGAAGAATGGCAGGAACTGCTCCCAGGCATAGCTGGGATCGCCCACGACGTCTGCCCACCGCTGATGCGCCGCCTTAGTGCCGCGTTGATAAGCCATGTAATTTCGCGCTGAGCTGCCCCCCAGACACTTGCCACGCGCGTAGTGACTCACCCGGTTGTAGGCGCCCTATATCAGATTCCGACATTAGTCCCTAATCTTCATTGCTCGGCGAGAGATGGCTTACCGCTTGAGGGGTAGTATGAAAGCCCCAATCGATGCCGGGCTGCCAATCGTCGAGATCTGTGCCCACGTAAAAGGCATCTTGAGCGGGGATCTGGCTGAGATTGCCATTGTTCAGCTCATAGAAGCCCCCCGCTTCAATAACGGCGACTGAGCCGGCGCCTTGTTCGGCCAGCCGCGTTGCGATGGTCAAGCCGGCCGTGCCCCCACCAATGACCAGATAATCAAACGTTTGATTCTTAGGGATGCCAAAGGATGACCCCAGCATGCGCCGCGCACGCTCATTGCGATGGGCTTGCGAGCTCGATGACCCCTCCGGGGCTGCAGCACCAACTACAGCAACTGCGATGGCTGCGTAAAGGATCCGTGATATCAATCTCATGGTTGGTTTCCCAATTGTCGTCATAGAAAGAATGCCCATGGAATAGAGTCAGAAAGAGTCTGATTCTCGAACAGCCAAATCCGGGGCTTATCAGCATGGCCGTCCTGCTCTAGGCAGTTCATCCATCAGCTCTCTCATCGGCCGAGGGTGATGGTCATTGTGGGGAATCGTTGGAAAGGATCGTATAGCCGATGAAGTTGCCTAAAGGAGACGGTGGGAGTTTCGGAGTCATACTAGACGACAATTGAGAATGGCTCACTCCCTCCGTATGATGATTATGTCCAAAGATACGTGCTGCTCGTGGTGGAATGGCATAAATATATCGAATCTGGCACCGGTTTGCCAGAAATTTCAATCACAATTCCAACCAGCCTCTCTCAATTTGTCTATACATCTCCAAAATGAAACCATCTCTGTGGATCAGCCTTGTGTCTCTGATCGGCCTTCGCCCGACCGCCGCTCGGGATGATTTCCCCGGAAATTATCCCTCGAGCCCCCCGCCACTTGGCGCTAGTGACTGGGAGCGCACGCCCATCTCGGTGTTCGACAAGGTGCTCAACACGCAACCAGATCCCGACTATGATCTCCTGAAGGAGCTGGTCACCTATGACTGTACCTACATCTCCCTGACATTCGACAACCCCACTCTCCATGGGATCATGCCCTGGGCGGGCACGCACTCCCATGTGGGTCCGCAAGCCTTCATCGACATCTTCACGCGAGTAGGCCTGTATTGGGACCGGGGTCCGTTCAGTATCGACTATATTTTTGGCGATGGCGGCAATGTGACGGCCTGGGGTTCATTCACGGCCACGTCGCGCATTCTGGGGAAGACGGTGATTTCGCCCTGGGCTGCTCGGGCGCAGGTGAATTCGGCCAATCAGATCTTTGAATTTCAGTGGATGGAAGATACCTTTACCACTGCCTCATCGTTTGGGTCGGATAATAGCACCAAAGTGTTTTATTCCAATCCGCAGGGCGGTATCGCCAATGCCTAATTGAGATCCAGCACTATGAGGGACACAGTGTCGGTAGAAGATGATCATCCCCAAGGAGTTTGGAGTTTCGGGATATTTCCTTTTTCGGAAGGACCCGGATAGGAGAATACGCGCCGATGAATCAATTCCACCCTTTGGCAAGACGTACATACGCGTGCATATTCTATAAGCATACTATGCAGACATCCTGTTAATTGTATATCCGTAATACTCCTCGCTCTCGGTCTCTCCCGGAGTCTTCCGCAATCCCTGCAGGCCTTACGTAGTACCGCGCTCGGAGTCCTGCACTGGTATCTAATCAGAGTAGTGTGGTCACTGTATGCAAGGGAGGGATAGACAGCTAGCTAGTCAGTCGTATATAGAATGATTGCTAGAGATCTGTATTTGAGGGGGAAAGCCCATCAATAAGTGTTGGTTTGCGAATACTCTAGTCTCTAAGTGCTACTCCAATACCATCCATCATGGCGAAAATTGATGTGCACCATCATTTCTATCCTCTGGCAATGCGCCAAGGTCAGTCCCACGCATATTAGAGTTAGAGTGAGAAGCCTATTGGCTAACCTCATATAGCCCTGGATCGCGCAGGAGGTGATCCTTCGGGCTGGTACACTCCCCCCTGGACGCTGGAGCTAGACCAAGACATGGCGCGACGAATGAAGGTTACCACCACCATTCTCTCCGTCACTGCACCGGGGCCATGCATCGAGCCTGATTTTGTTAAAGGAGCTGCCCTAGCACGCAGCTGCAATGAATCTGCTGCCGCTATTAGGGACTCTCAGCCGCACAAGTATGGCTTCTTTGCCTCGGTCCCCTCCCTGTTCGATACGGCGGCGGTCTTGAATGAAATCGACTACGCCTACACCACTCTCCGTACCGACGGAGTCACGCTGTTCACCCGCTACGGCGATGGTCCCAATTACCTGGGTGATGCAGCCTTCCGACCCATCTGGGCTGATCTTAGCCGTCGCGGTGCCGTGGTCTTCATCCACCCAACCCATCCGGTCGATACCCAGCTCGTCAGCCAATGGCTACCGCAGCCCATGTTTGACTATCCGCACGAAACGGGCCGGGCCGCTATGGATCTGCTGACTAGTGGAATTTTGCAAGACTATCCGGGTTGCAAAATCATACTCTCCCACGCGGGCGGAACCTTGCCGTATCTGATCTATCGGGCGGCTACCATGCTGCCGTTGATGCCACGCACTCTCGGTCTTTCAACTGAGGAGCTGGTGGCAGCTGCTCGGACCTTCTACTTCGACACAGCCATCTCATCAAACCCGGTCACGTTGAAGGCGCTGTTCGAGTTTGCCGCACCTGGCCATGTGCTCTTCGGCAGTGACTTTCCCAATGCCCCGCATGACGCGATCCAACGTTTCACAGACTTTCTCGAGGCGTATGAGCTGCCGGAGGAGACTAAGCGACAGGTAAATAGCGGGGCGGCATTAGAGTTATTTCCACGATTGAAGAGGATCCCGGATAAAGCGAGACTCTGAATTGGGGTAGGATCAATGTGGTAGCTGTACATAAGAAGCTATTGGAAGGGGATTGGAGTCAAGGCTGATGAGACAATATTGCCGATGACCTAATGATTATTTATATATCGCAATATAACATTAGTAGTAGAAGGATTGGCAACACATTATATAAATTGCAATCGATGGACCTATCAGTTTCCGGTCTGTTTGTCTCTAAATATTGAACTGGGACTTTGTTGGCGTTACTCAGAGCAAGCATAGCTTCTCTCTCCGAAAAATTTGGTAATGTTCAATCTATCATCCAGATTATCCAACTCAGCCATTTTCCCTCCTCGATGAAGCGGTCGTTCTTTTGGGGTTCTATATCAAGCATAGATGCTCCCCGTCAGATAGGTCTAGAAGAGCCCTATTTAGGATATCATATATTTTCGTTTTTATGGTGAGCAGACTGAACTCACTGTCGACTCTACAGGAAGAGGGACGTGTTTCCCCAAGGGGAATCTTAGCCGGATGACACACTCCTTTGGGTAACTGGGTAACTGGGTTTCTTGAGGATTGCAAGAAATCCGCCTGTGCATCAACCCCTCTCCTTGTCGATCTATAAGTTAGCGTACATATAGTTACCCCTCATCTCGACGAAGAAATTCAACCTGAAGGATTCAGCCCGGATAGATCTCATCAACTATGGAACCACTATTGCTGCTACTCCTAGTCTTGTTACCAGCCATCGTACTCGTACGATATGCCTTCACCTATGGCCATCGTACCAGCACTATGCCCATCGGTGAGTTGTCGTCTTCAATGTGGACTCAGTGCGGATCTTTCTCATCTGGCATAGGTCCACCTACCCTACCCTTCATTGGAAACATCCACCAGATCACCAAGAAGTACACTCATATCAAGTATGTTTGATGACCTCCCTTTTCCCTTTGGAGCACACAGAGGAGATTCTCACCGCCGATGTCTTGCGGAATTCAGATTTACCGAATGGGCCGCTCAGTATGGCGGGTTATATATGCTCAAGATCGGGAATGGCAATATGGCCGTTATCACAGATCGCCGACTGGTCAAAGAAGTCGTCGATCGCAAGAGCGGTATCTACAGCCATCGGCCTCATTCCTTTGTCTCGCACGATCTCATCACCAAAGGCAACCACCTATTGGTCATGCATTATGGCGACCAGTGGCGCACCTTTCGACGGCTGGTCCACCAACACCTGATGGAGTCCATGGTGGAAGGCCACCACACCCAGATTGTCAACGCTGAAGCCATACAGCTGGTACGAGACTATATGATCGACCCGGAGCACCATATGGCCCATCCCAAGCGATACAGTAACAGTATCACCAACTCGATCGGTAAGTCTCCCATCTACTATTTATTGCTGGAAGCTCCTAAGTCCCTATCACAGTATTCGGAATCCGCACGGCCAACCGCGAAGGATCCAACATGGGGAGGCTTTACAAACTCATGGAGGAATGGTCGGAAATGATGGAAACGGGCGCAACACCACCAGTAGACCTATTCCCCTGGTTGAAACTACTACCACAGTGGCTGTTTAACAATTATATTACCCGGGCCAAGGCCATCGGTGTGCAGATGGAGACCCTCTACGTCGACATCCTGAACAAAGTGATAAAACGGCGGGAAGATGGCGACAATAAGGGCACTTTCATGGACAAGGTTCTGGATAGCCAAGAGAAACATAATCTTCCTTGGCACCAGCTGGCCTTTATCGGCGGTGTTCTGATGGAAGGAGGCTCGGACACGAGCTCCAGTCTCACGCTGGCTATCGTGCAAGCATTGATCCAAAACCCCGATGTGCAGCGAAAGGCACATGCTGAGATTGATGCGGTTATCGGCCACAACCGGTCACCCGTTTGGGAGGATTTTGAACAACTTCCTTATATCAACATGATCGTCAAAGAAGGTCACCGGTGGAGGCCAATACTTCCACTTTGTTTCCCGCATGCACTGGGAGAGGGTAGGCCGTTTTTCTCTTACTTTCTGTCCTTTTCTGTCCTTCTAACTTCTATACTAACTATGGGTATCCTTATAGATGACTGGGTCGATGGCAAATTTCTCCCCAAAGGCACAATAGTGGTGATCAACACCTGGGGTATCCACATGGATCCATCCCAACCTGATGACCCAGCTGCTTTCATCCCCGAACGCTTTGCCAAACATCCTCAATTGGCTCCCGACTATGTGCCGGGGACATGGGAGCGTCGCGACCACTATGGCTACGGGGTTGGACGCCGGATCTGTCCTGGCATTCACCTCGCTGAGCGCAACATGTTCCTGGCCATTGCTAAACTGCTATGGGCGTTTGACTTCCAGCCGGGAGAGGGCCCGATGGATAGTGATCCGGTGAATGGGTACCATAATGGCTTCCTTTACTGTGCCAAAGACTATCCTTGTCGACCTGTAGTACGCAACGAGGTCATTCGGGCGACCATTGAAAGAGAATTTGGGATTGCGACTGTGGATGTGTTTTCTCGGTTTACTGAGGGATAGTTGAGAGACAGGATGGCCGCATTCAAATTATTGATGGAGCTGTGATGAGCGAAGAGAATGAGTTGACGTTCTTTTTCTCGTTTTCTGATCATTTTTGTTTTCGGGTGCTCTCTACTATACTAGGTCTAGGTCTATAACTTTCAGGCCTAGATTCTCACATCATCAACGCAGTGTTTCTGGGCTTTCAGCAACGTCGGTCCATTTGTAAAAGGTCCACTATATATCCGCGGCGAGCATCCCCTACCGATATGGGAAAAGGACTTTCAATGAAGAAGTATTTCTCGGTGCTCCCTTTATGGGAACTATGATGAATTGGCTTGCTAATTAGATACAAAAATTATTACACTGATACCTCATTTGAGATTCCGTCAAACTCCAGCCCGTCCTCTTGATCAGTACGTTTTATCGTCATCAGATGCTCCCAGTGCTCGGGATACTTCTGACTTGCCCATTTCTCGACTTCGTCTTTCCAGTATTGGTACGGGATGGCGTTGTAGAATAACCCGATACTAGGACAAATATTAGCGATGATAACACAGATAGCAAAGGAATGTACTCACGTATTGCTAGTAGGAGGGACCCCAATCTCAGCTTCCATGTTGTCGATAGCTTCAACAGCCAGATCAAATTCGCATTGAGCTGCCAAGGCCTCCATATACGCCGAATAGAGCGGGCGATTCGCAGTGATCTCCAGCTTCTTGACCTTGCTCATCATCTTTATAGCCTCCTGGGTACCATTGTGATGCTTCTCACAGACCTTGAAGAAAATCGTGATAGTCTTGTGACAAGGGCCTTCCTCCGACTGAAGAATTTGTCGGAAAATTTCCATGCTCTTTTCTGGCATCTCGCATGCAGCATACGCCATCATCAGGCCATTTAGGATTCTCGTGTTGAGATCCACTTCAAGATCAAGCTTCAGCATGTTGTGTACAAGCTTCAGATTGGTCGCATCTGCCGTGCGAGCCAGGCCCTGGAAACAGCGGGCATAAGTGTCTGGCCTAGGGCGTC